AGACTCTCCATTTTTGCTTTATTCAACATCATATCGCTTAAGCTGCAGCTCTAGTTTGTTTCATCCCATTTCTCAAGGCTGTTGCTGCCTGCACACTCTTGAACTTCGCAAAGCTTCCGTGCCCAAACCATATATGCTGACAACAATTTAAAAAAGACATGAATATTAATGAAATGGAAGATGTGCACACACAAAAAAATCATTTAGCACCAGGATTATCTGGGGCTTATCTAAGAACTACAGCAGGATTTGTTCTGTGGTCCAGCTGATCAGGCAGGCACCAGGTACCACACAAAGCTTTTTTTTCTTGCCCCCATGGAGAGGATTAATGTTAAGGCATACAGTTAGCTGTCAGCTCTATTAATCGCCTAAATTCGTCAAGCTAAAGAAAAAAGAAGTCAACTCAGCAAAAAGTGTGTGTCGAGGATGCTGTGTTTTGTCTTTCCAGCAGAGGGAGAAGCCCACAGGAGACTCCAGCCAGGTAACCAGGAAACTGAAATGAGAAATATGGAGAAAAACATGACATTCTGGGGGTGAAAGCAAGACAACTCAGACTTTTGGAGCTGCCTGCTCAGCCAGCATCTGTCTGGAAGGAAATCAGTGCTGCTGTTCCCAGCTCCTCACTGCTGCCCTGTGCTGCTCTCAAAGCAGTGGGGAGCACCAGTTTCTTCCAAGGGAAGGATGGTGAACCTCCCCTTCCCTGGCATGGGGTCACCCCTCCCCACTGTGCTTCATGTTAGTGCACCTCATGAGGTGTCTCCATGGAGCAGATCCGTTCTCCAGTTCTTGTTCAGCCTGCGTGCTGCCCTGGGCTTTGCTTCTGCGGGGCAGCGCATTAGGCCTCAAGGCATGGGAGAAGGAGGTGCCATGTGCTGACACTGGCTGTGGCCTGGTCTTTTTCTTCCTTCTGTGAGCAGCAGAGGACAGCAGACATCCCCACAGGTGATCCCAACATGTGTGGTGGTACTGTGCCTCCTGGATTGCAGGCTGCTGGCCCAGCGGTCTCAGTGTCCGAGGCACCTCAAGGTGCATCCACGAGGGCATGGTGCTGTGCTTTATTACAACACTGGTGGACTCAAACAGCTGTTGTGTTACAGACGCTGGCACCAGCATCATGAGTTTCTGAACAGCCTGGATGTGAAACAAGGCTGATGGAGTGGCCCTTTACATCCAGGCAGTAGGCTCTGCCATTGGCACCTCTGGATCCTACAAGACAACTGCCGTGATCCAGGATGCCACATCCCTGTAGCGATGCAGCAGCTGCCAGGAGCCGTTCCCCCACCCCATGCACCCAGCTTTCCTCGCAGCCTCTGCTCCCCCTTCATCTCCCCCAGCTCTACAAGCAGAACCACATCTCATTGTGAGGACAGGGGCAAGATATAATTAAATGCCAACCAGAGAGGAAGCCAACCACCCAAACCACAGAGAGAAAGAGCAGAGCGTTACAGTCTGGCATTACACTCTGTGGTCATTTATGACAAAGACCTGTTTTCTGAAGGAAAACAGGCTGTCACCAAAATAGATGCTTCTCCCCAGCTCTCCCTCTCTCTGATGCTGCAATGTGACCACAGCTCCATCCAGGCTCAGATCTGGGCACTTCCCAATCCCCAGTCATGTTTCCCCACCTTGACACCATCACAAAGCTGCAATGTGCATCAGGATGGTCCCCACGTACCAAAGAGGAGGTGATACAGCGCTGGTTTACCAACCCAGTGGCAAAATGTCTTGCCAGCCAGAGACAGATCCCATCAGCAGGCTTAAGTGAGGGAGAAGAAAAGGTGCCCACGATGGATTGCAGTCCTGGATGTCAAAAGGACCTTTTCAGACAAGGAGTGCTGAAGACCAAGTTCCAAAATGCTGGTACTTGCCAAGCCTGGCTGCCCCAGCATACTGAAATCCCTACAGCAACCCTGTCCAGAAAGAAGAAGTGATGTGACTGTCACAAATCTTTTTTAAAAAGAAAGAAAAAGAAATTCTGCATAGGAATGTATAATGACACCTCAGGGAGATATTAAACACCTTCATTTGGCCAGACTGACAAATGTCCAACAGCTGGTGCACCACAGTGCTGACCGGGCATCTAGTGGTCCTCCAGGCACCTCTCCTGTAGAGAGGCATGCCCTAAAACAATGTGTTCCTTTCCCAGCAGGCTACACCAGTGTATTTTTGATTTAGAGTAGTCACAATGATTCTGTAGATGCATTTTTCTTAAATGTCAAGTGCCACTCTCTTAAGACTTCATAGTGTTTATGCTGCACAAACTTATTTTAAAGTGGACGCAAATGTCCCTATAAATATTAGTAATATGAGACCTGGGCTCCACAGAAAAGCTGATGTGAGAGAATAGTAATTTTGAAGTCTTTGCAGCGTCAAGTGAATATGGTATTCATGAAAAGTATTTTACAGTGGCAAATATTCTAGAGTCTGGGTTAAATTCTTGCTTTAGCACTCACTATTTTGCAATTACTGACGTGAAATTACATCCTTCCATGTGAAGTAGTTCTAAAAAGTACATTTAATGTGAATGAACACTCAGAATATCTCGGAAATATGCATTTAATTCTTGAGATCACTAATGGCATCCAGCAGGGTTCATTAGCTATCTAGGCCTGAATAGCATTAAGCATAACACAGTATCACCTAAATGTCAAGACTGTCAGATGAATAAGCCAAGCATCCTGCATATGCAACAAAGTGTGGAAGAAAAATATCCCTGAATTAAGAGTTGAGCAGATCTGCAGTCTCTCAAGCACAGTGCCTGCAACATACCTCTGCATGCCAAGATAACTCATGTCCCAAATTGAAGCTTGAATGGGACAAAGTAATTTATCTTTCCTTCTAATGTCTGGTGGAAGAGACAGGGCTCCCCGGGTGAAGCAAAACGTGGCAATTCCTCCAGTTGCGTTTGTTGCCTCAACTGGTCACAGGCTGATGCTTTGGGGCTTTTAGTACGGCTGTCTGGAATTTCCATCCTCTGGAAATGTTCCAGGGATTGGAGAAAAAGATTTGTCCCACTTCTGAATAAAACTAAAGAAACTAGACACCTTTTTTCCAGAAAATCTGGGGGGGGAGGGGAAAGCCAACTGTTGGAACAACCCGCATTATATTTTACAGCTGGCTAGCAGTCTTTTGGCCTGACAAAAAAAAAAAAAAAAAAACCCAAACAAATATCACCTAAATGTCAAGACTGTCAGATGAATAAGCCAAGCATCCTGCATATGCAACAAAGTGTGGAAGAAAAATATCCCTGAATTAAGAGTTGAGCAGATCTGCAGTCTCTCAAGCACAGTGCCTGCAACATACCTCTGCATGCCAAGATAACTCATGTCCCAAATTGAAGCTTGAATGGGACAAAGTAATTTATCTTTCCTTCTAATGTCTGGTGGAAGAGACAGGGCTCCCCGGGTGAAGCAAAACGTGGCAATTCCTCCAGTTGCGTTTGTTGCCTCAACTGGTCACAGGCTGATGCTTTGGGGCTTTTAGTACGGCTGTCTGGAATTTCCATCCTCTGGAAATGTTCCAGGGATTGGAGAAAAAGATTTGTCCCACTTCTGAATAAAACTAAAGAAACTAGACACCTTTTTTCCAGAAAATCTGGGGGGGGAGGGGAAAGCCAACTGTTGGAACAACCCGCATTATATTTTACAGCTGGCTAGCAGTCTTTTGGCCTGACAAAAAAAAAAAAAAAAAAACCCCAACCAAATTCTCTGGTGAAACTGAAACTATCTAGCAGCAAATCATCCTAGCAGACAATTCCCCTCTCCTTTCCCGGTTATTTTTCAGGACTTTTTTTCCTTGAATCGAAATATAAAACAAAAATTATTGCACAACCAAACTAAGAGTGAAAAAATTAGGCTCTTGAGCCATGAGTAGACAGACACTGAGTAAATGTCACCTGAATCAATAGAGAGTGCAACAGATGGAGGTTTTAACATTGTTCTTGCGAATTAATCATTAATTTATTTTTTAAGTAATCGTCATAAATCTTCCTGGAACAGATTGTTATTCTCCCTGTTATGATTCATTAAACCAGTGCAGAATGAGATCATTGTCATTTAAGTTAGCATTTTTGAGGCTGCCGAATATCCTCCAAGCATTTCCTGCAGCTGGGACAGCAAGCATCCTCCTTGGAGCTGGCAACCTGCTTGCACCATATCCTGCTCCAAGAGCTTCTTGTGCCTCTGGCCAGCCACACCATCATTCCCCAGCCACACCATCATCCCCACTGAGACCCTGAGTCCACTTCACTTGACCCTCTCAGGCAGCAGCAAAACCAGGGGCTGACTTCCAGCTGAGAAGCTGCATGAGGCACCAACGCCTGCAGAGAGGCTCCTGGAGGAGCTGGGACTGGAGAAGGCTTCCCTGGAGGTGGGCTCTCACCCACCCCAGCCTCCAGCTCAGCTGGCTGGTTCCGTGGGGCACAGCTTGTCACTAATGCCTTTGGATAAACTGAGACTTTTCTCCTCCTCTTGGAAATTCCCACATTGTAAAGCCAAAGGACCCAGCAGGCAGAGAGGAGGCAAGTTACCAAAAATAGGCTTTTTTTCCCTTTTAATTTCTCTGTGGTGTAATTTCCTGACTGCATTATTGAAACAACAATGACATAAAGGGACACGATGCTGCAACAGGGCAGACGGGAGCAGGTAGGAGCAAAAGAGCCAACAACATATTTGTGTAGAAGAAAGGGAAAATAGCTCGCGGTAAGGGGAATTAAAAAATTACCTGGCAAAAAGGCACACACCCATCTCCTGCCCCCGCAGCCACCCTGAGAGTCCTCTGGCACGAGAAGGATGCCAAAAGGGAAAAAAAACCCAAACAAACACCACCAAACAACAAACCAAATGAAAAACAAACCACACACGCCTCCCCCCTCAAATTGCAGCAATTAACTTGATCAGGGCATTTTCACTTCCTAAACTGGGAGAGTGAAATTCCCCCGGGGTCATCTGACCTGTGTTGAAACGGCACCAGGAAGAGGAGCAGCAGCGGGGAGTGCGGGGCGTTCTCTGGTCCTACAAAAGCCTCCTGTGCCCGAGCCACGGATCAGAGCAGGGCAGGGATGTGCGTGCGTGCCTACGCGTAGCAAGGCGAGGTGCAAATATCCTCCCAGCCAGATCATCTCTTGCACAACTCCCCGACTCTCCGCAGCCTGGCTGACCTTCTGTTTTTTCCCTCTGCTGCTCCTCTCCAAGCATGCCTCCAGAGCAGAGCTTCTGAAGAGCCGTTTCCTCCTGTGCATCTCCCTGAAAACAGCTCTTCTGGAGAAAGAGAGGGTGGCTGGCAGCATGGTGGGGGTGACGGTGATGAGGACATGGGTTGAGCCGGTGGTTGCAGGTTCTCAAGTGGCCAGCGCCTTCTACGACACGGCGCTGCTGCTGGTGGTGAAGAACTACTACAATCAGACCAACTCCACCGCTCCCTCTCATGTACTGGAAGATGCTCAGCAGAAGGCTGTCTCTAATTTTTATATCATCTACAACCTAGTCCTGGGCCTGAGCCCACTGGTGTCAGCCTATGGCTTGTCCAAGCTGGGGGACAGGATACATCGGAAGATCCCCATCTGCTTCCCTCTTCTTGGCTACTTGGGCTCCAAAACTCTGCTGCTGCTCCTGATCCTGCTGGGCTGGCCGATCGAGGTGATGTACGGGGCTGCTGCCCTCAACGGGCTGACGGGAGGTTTCACCACCTTCTGGGCAGGCGTCATGGCTCTGGGATCTCTGCGCTCTTCCGAGAGCAGGAGGTCTCTGCGGCTGATCATTATTGAGCTGGTCTATGGCCTCGCTGGCTTTCTGGGAAGCATGGCATCTGGCTACCTGTTTGTTGGCTTCAATGACCGCTATCGAGAGGGCACTGTGCTGGTGGGCTGCAGCATTGCTTGCTATGCTTTCTGCCTTCTCTACAGCATTTTTGTCCTGACAGTCCCCAAGTCAGCAGCTTCCTGCCCAGCCAAAGCCAAGAGTGCAGAGGAAGTGGGCAGCCAGCTACCATCCCACAAAGAAGCAGCAGCAGCAGGCAGTTCCCAGCCTTCAGAGAGCAGCAGCTCCACTCCAATATCCCCCTCAAAACTCATCATCATCATGCTGTTCGTGGCAGCAATCCTCTATGACCTTGCTGTAGTTGGTGCAATGAACGTACTCCCACTCTTCTTGCTGAGGGAGCCTTTAAGTTGGAACGCCGTACAGATTGGCCATGGCAATGCTGCTGGGTACATCATCTTCATCACCAGCTTTCTAGGGGTGTTTGTGTTCTCCAAATACCTGAGGGACATCACCATGATCATAATTGGAGTGATATCCTTCACCGCTGGCGTCCTCATCATGGCCTTCGTGCGGTGGACGTTCCTGTTCTACATCGGTGAGTTGCACGGCTGCTTGCGTGAGCGAGTGCACCCTGAGAAGGGGGCTGGGGTCTTTCATTGTCAGGGGAAGGGCTTTTGCTCTGCTTCACCACCAGTTTCAGAAGCAGGAGCTTGGCAGACCACCAAATGAGTGGGGAGTTAATTATTCCCTCATTATCATTCCCCTCTCCCCACAACTCCCTTTGTACTCAGCACCCTACAATATCCAGAGGAGGCATATACTCCTGCCAAGGCTTAGTTTAAGGCTGGGTAACTTGTAATTAGTAACTTGTAATTAGTGTTAGTCATAACAGGAGAACAATGCTCATGATATAGGGGAGTGAGGACTGTTGCTGGGTACCTGTACTAATCAGACCACAGCACTGCATTAATGGGAAGCAACAAACAAATTGGCAAAGGTTTCCTATTAAGCAAACATCTTAAGGTGTGATTTATTTTTGTAACATTAAGGCATTTATGGTCAACGGGAAACTTCATAGTGAAACACTGGAGCTGCTTTAGGAACTAAAATGTCATGAGAATGTAGTGTACAAATCTTACACTATGTATAAATGACCAAGGGACAGGTAACAATAGGTGGGCAGCATCCCACGACAAAGGAAAGGCAAGTTTGTCGTTGGGAGGCAGCCTTGCAGGAACACAGAAAACAAAACCCAAGAACTGCATCTGTTGTGGCAATGAGACGGATGGTTCACATCTGACAAACAGAGCATCGTGTGTTACGTGGCTTTGAAGTTTTTTCTCCTGAAAGTGAGAAAAAGATCTAAGAGAAATGGCCTGAAGTGATTTTTCTGTCTGCCCCTACAGGGAATGAGAAATCAAAAATGAAACAAAGCAACGCTAAAGGGAAAGATAGTAGGATATCTTATTTGTGTACTAAGCCAAAAATGGGCAATTTTAAAGATACTTTCTTTGTTTAGGCAATCAGGCTGGGGAAAAAAAGATAAAAAATTAAAATCAAAAAAATGCTAGTTCAATATTAAGTCCATCATGAACGCATGCTGCTACACAGTGTGCAGGATGGTTATTTCCTGCTTTACAGAAATATCTCAGTACATTAGACATGGACCAAGTCTTCACTGAGGCTGACAGGAAAGTAATTCCAGCTCCCTAAATGTTTAGACAGTGGAGAAAGCCTAAAATACTGCAAGCTAGAAGCACCGAGATAGAAAATGGCTATAATGTTATAAAGGTACTGCTGCTGTCAAGGCCATGTAGCGTGGGGTGCTCTCTCTGCTGGATAGACACAAATCATCATCCTCACTATCTCAAAGGACAGTGCTCTATTCCACCTGCGCTGGAATTTCAGGCTGAGACCAAGAGACCATGGCTGGTTTGGGGAAAGTACCTCTGCTAGGTGGGAGCAAGGGGTGGCTTACCCACCATCTCCTGGGTGAAGTGAGGACCTACATTCCTACCAAAGATGAGTACTTCTTTCTGGTACTCAAGGGACAAGAAAATGTGAAACACATGTGCCAGAGGCATGTAGTCTTCATGAGCAGTGGTTGGTGTGTTGGGGGACAAGGAGCAGATACTGATGATAACCTCATATTTCTTGCATTTCAGCACGGGCAGTGATGCTCTTTGCCCTCATTCCCTTACCAACCATCAGATCTGTGTTATCCAAGCACGTCGAAGGATCATCCTATGGTAAGTACTTTGGTTACCTTACTGGTCAAAAAACCCTCAAACCCCTCCATTCAGCCTAAGGTACAAAGAGAAAGGTAAATCATTGCTACAATCTCTGCTTTGCGTAATAAAACTAGAACACAAATGGGAAGGGAGGAGCAGAGGAACTTGCAGGACAAGACTGTCACATCCAAACTTCTCCTCCTCGGTTGTGTCATCATTTATCCACAAACTTCTCAGCACGTGCTTCAAGTGACTACTATCAGTGTGCAGCTCAAAGGCAGGGAAAATATCTGAGGAGCTGCTCAAAAACATAGCGCTCTGGGGAAAACCAAGAGAAGCAAGACATTGGGTTGAAGCACTGTGACAGACCATTTATATTTGGCTTCTTTTATTTCCAGTTTTGGGAAGGATGCATTTATTTAATCTTTTTTTCAGTTACGGTCTCTAAACACATCTCCACGTTTTACCTGGCAGTTTGCTCCTGTCAGACCATGGTTTAAGTGAGAAAGGACAAGCTTTACCATTTTGGTAAACAGGAGTAGAAATTATTTTCTATTTCACAGAATTACAAAATCACCATGTCCAACCTTAAAACAAACAAACAAACAAACAAACAAACCAACCAACCAAAAACAAACCACAAAACACAACACCCCACCACATCACACCCACCCACAAACCAACAATCTTGGGCACTAGAGCATGTCCTGAAGAGCCTCATCTACACGTTTCTTAAATACCTCCAGGGATGGTGACTCCATCACCTCCCTGGGCAGGCTGTTCCAGTGCCTGACCACCCTCTCAGTAAAGTAATTCTTCCAAATATCTAATCTAAACTAAATCCTAAAATCTAATCTAAATCCCCTGCTGCAACTTCATACCATTTCCTCTGGTCCTGTCATTATTCCCTTGGGAGAAGAGGCCAACACCCACCTCTCTACAACCTCCTTTCAGGAAGTTGCAGAGGGCAATGAGGTCTCCCCTCAGCTTCCTCTTCTCCAAACTTAAACATTTAAATTTGTATTAGAAAAATAGTAAAAAATATGTATTTTTACAGCACCGTATTAAAGGCTACCATTTTTAACCTCGACGAGCTGGGTTTAGACACACCAGACAGCCCTGGCCATGCATTCAAACAGCACCTCAGGGCCACGACTGCTTGTGCCTCCTCCCAACACCTTCCCACGGCCGCCCGTTGGACCCTTTTCCCTTCTGCCACAGGAACACAACACAGGAGCTCTCACCAGTTCATTCCTCCTGCTTGTGCTCCTCGCTCGCCTGCCACAGGCGGTGCAGCTTGCACCCCAAATTAATCATTGTGATTAATCAATAATATTGTTGCAATCCCCACCACGACCTGCACGGGCTGCACCTGAGGGCGGCAGGTCTCCAGCGGTAGCGTGCAGCAGAGCAGGCCTTGCCTCCTGGCCACAGCATTGTCTCTGGAGGTGGTGGCCACTGTGGGGCTGGAGAAGGCTGGCAGGGCAGCATGCTTGGTGCACAACCCTGACCTTGCTCCCAAGCTGCGCATCCTGGCAGGGCTGGGCTACTTCCCAGGAACACCCCTTCCCAGGAAGGCCAACAGAATCCTGGGCTGAGTAGGGAAGAGTGTGGCCAGTAGGTCGAGGGAGGTCATTCTCCCCCTCTGCTCTGCACTGGTGAGGCCACAACTGGAATACTGCATCCAGTTCTGGGCTCCCCAGTTCAAGAGGGACAGGGAACTACTGGAGAGAGTCCAGCGAAGAGCAACAAAGATGATTCAAGGATTGGAGCATCTCCCTCATGAAGAAAGACCGAGAGAGCTGGGGCTCTTTAGCCTGGACAAACGAAGGCTGAGGGGAGACCTTATTAATGCTTACAAGTATCTCAAGGGTGGGTTGAAGGAGGAGGGAAGGAGGGAGCCAGACTCTTTTCAGTGGTTCCCAGTGAGAGGATGAGGGGCAACAGGCACAAGTTGGAACATAAGAGGTTCCACTCAAATATGAGAAAAAACTTCTTTCTGGTGAGGGTGCCAGAGCCCTGGAACAGGCTGCCCAGGGAGGGTGTGGAGTCCCCTTCTTTGGAGATTTTCAAGACCCACCTGGATGCAGCCCTGAGTAACATGCTCTGACAAGCTCTAGGCAATCCTGCTTCAGCAGGGGAGTTGGACTAGATGATCTCTATGGTCCCTTCCAACTCTAAAAATTCAGTGAAATTCAGTACCACGGCAGAAACAGAAGGGTGCACTTCAGCAGAACAAAGCTGGTGCCACCAGGGTCCAGTTTCTGCCTTTCCCCCACCCTAAACATATCACAACTCACACGCACCTCCCCATCTCAGGCATTATTATCATTTTAACCCAGCAGACCACTCTTCTTGCCTAGGGCAGAAGCAGACCCCGATTAAAATCCCTCCTCTCCTGCTCAGGACTACCCTGCTACTTCCTGTGGAAAGGAGCACTTCCTGCACAGTTTAGTGCTGCTTTTCCAGGCTGCCACCTCAACATCTAGACTGGTTAAACAGACAGTTTTCTAGTTGGATGTCTTGTCCTACGCCTAAAAGATGGAAAAGTCATTTAATCGTGGTCCAGAACAGCAGTGGCTGTAAGCTCCTGCCATCTGGCACTTGTGAAGCAATGACCACATCGCTCTTCCACGCAGGGGTGAGCCTGGATTCCGCAGCTGCTTTTATTTTTTTTTCTCCTGGGTAACAAACTATGTTTTTTACAGGTAAGATATTTGTCCTGCTGCAGTTGTCCTTAGTCACCACAGGAGTAGTGACATCTACGGTCTACAACAAGATCTATCAACACACACTGAACTGGTACAGCGGCTTCTGTTTCATTTTGTCCTTCCTAGCCGGCTGCCTGACTCTCCTCCCTTTAAGGTAAGGAATAGGAAGGGTTTTGTCCAGAAGGACATGCTGTATTTTCTTCATGTTCCCCGATTCTATGTCTAAAGCATGTAATACAGATGGGAAAAAAGAATTTGGAATTTAAAAAGAAAAAAAAAATGGAAAAAGATAAACAAAAATTTTGCAGAAATGAGTTGATGACTATCAAGGAGATTCAAAGAATGAAACTTGCAAGTGACTTAGCTGATGTTTTTTTAATCTTCTTTTTTGTTTAAAGTAGCATGAATTGCTGTAGGAGGAATATTTGGCAGAGTTTAAGAGCTGATAGTCCCAGGGGACAAAGCCTTCACACAAATGTAGTGCTTGAAATTGCAAAAATAGTAGTAAGTAGACTGAGGGAATAATACTACACAAAGTAAAACATTTTTTAAAAAATCCATTACAGGTTACTTTCTCATTGTGATAGAAAAGAACAACCTGAGTTGCCCCCAGGTGTTCCTTTCAAAGAGAAACCATTACCACATAGTGGAAGAAATGGTTACTTTTCTGATCCAATGAATTTGCCCAATTGTACAGCTACAGAGCGACTGAGAGGTACAATTTCAAGAACACGTTTTAAGCAGAAAACCAACTAAATTTGAAGAGAGAAAGCTGAAACAGCATCGCCATCTATTATTCCAGAATTTTTTAAGGATCTCCCTCCAATTCTCACCTTGCCTGCTGTCCTCTCCCCAAGACCCTGCAGCTCGTTGCGTTAACTAGGAACAGCGAGACTCATCCCGTGTGAGGTTAAAGCAAATAGTGACGATATCGCTATTTAACCCCTGCAACAACAATATTTGCATTCAGATACAAGGCAGGTACTGGAAGGGCTAATGTCTGATCCCAAGCAAAATTCTTAGCGAGGCTTCCTGTAATTTTTTTTAAAAAGAGTAGTAGAAAGTCTAATGGCACTACATATACTGACTTAAGCGTTACCACTTAGATAGGAATAAAAAGCAATGCTAAGGAAAGCTCCCAGACCATCAGCTCTGCGTCCTCCAGAGCACTGAAGCCTCCTGGGCTCATGAAACACATTTGACACCTGGTGCCAGGAGGACTATGAGCGTGGGGAAGGCTGCTCCATACTCATTGTTCCCCTGGCTCTGCTTTCCTCCTCATCTTCTCCAGACACAAGAGCGACCTGTCCCTTATGCACAGCCCTACTGTTTAACAGAGAGCTGCTGATAGCTACTCAACTGCTTTTTAAGGTGTTCTCCAAATAGGAATTAGCACCATTATCAGCACAAACACGGGGATTAGGTCTTGAAGCCCGAAAGACAATACATGGGGACAGTTTCATTGTTCACAGGGTAACTTATAGAGAGGCTGGCAGATCCTCGCAAAGAATGGCACGAGCACTCAGCCAGCGCCAGACACCCCAGCCAAGTTTAAGCTAAAGAATTGATGGGGGAAAAGCAAACTGTAGTTTTATGAAGTAGTCTGTTGGCTCTCCTGCAACCTGCATTTTTATTGCTCTTTACAGCATTGTGGCCATCAAACAGCGTTCATCCACTGGCTCCCTTCAGATCCTGACCGAGTGACAGAGGCTGCATCAGCTAAAGCATCTACTGGTCTTTATGAACTCCCCAAGCTGCCAAAGTGGAAGGTTTGCCAGGCATTAGTCCCAGCAAGTTACCATCATTTCGGGAAGCATCTCATTTACGTTTCCACTTCACAGCGTGCCACAGCCTCTCAGCCACTGAGCTCACACAGGACAAAGCAGTTTGCCTTGTTATTTCTGCAGTGCATCATCACGCAGAGTTCGTGCACTGGCTGTTGCACACCAGCAGTCCTCAGGGCATTTTGCTTTCCTGCTAGGCTGGGCAGCAATAGTGGAGCGTGGCAAGAACAAGGTAGAAATGAAGAGGATGTTTCTACATCCATCATTCACCGTGGAAGGGGAAAGCAGAGGATCAGCTTCCCATTAGCTCCTTCTTGTCTGTTCCTTCAGAAACCTCAGGGCAGTTCTGTGACTTTGGGTGATGAAGCAGGGGTCCACACGCCGTGTGTGCATGGCTGTCAGCGGGACACACTTGCTCTCCAAGTGGTACAGAAGATACGTCAGCCCAACTGATCAGTATCACATAAAAGCCCACTAGATACAGAAATACCACTGTAAAAAAAATAATGTAAAATTAAGACATTTCTAGTAATCCCTAAAATAAAACAATTCCTGAACAGATGTCTATGCCCCTGACTTCTGGGAGAATGTCCCACTGTCTCCAAAGGGTGTTTTACCATAGCTGGTGGGAGGACACCTATGACTCAGGAGCCAATACTGGCATCTCCACTCACACCACCAGGCTGTACTACTCTCCTAACAGGTTAAGAACAGGTAAGTGCAGCACACAACTCCTCTGGGTGTTACAAAGATGTAGGGACACTGATGCCACGTAGTAGTCACCTTGTTACCCCAGCTTTACGCTGGGTGAAACCCCTACTGAAAGGGACCTCTTACAACACAGCAACTGGCATGAGATGCTGTCATCTAAACCCAAGGGTGATTCAGAAGACTGGCACACCCCAGAGGAATCAGAGCTTAAATTATACGTCTACTTATCTGCTAATTGAATCAACAAGGATTAAGTGGCTTCCAAGTTCCTGAACTAAGTGAAGGCAAGTTTAAAGCCCTCCAGTAACTGAAATAATCTGGAGGCAAATCAGGCAGCTTCAGTTTGAGCCAGAGATACAGAAGCTGATTACTCACTATGCAACTCCTTACTCTGAGGAAGTTCCTGCCACCCCAGTTCCCCCCCCTCACACACACACACTCTTAGTATCATAGAATGGTCCAGGCCGGAAGGGACCTCCAAAGGTCATCTAGTCCGACCTCCCCACAGTCAGCAGGGACACCCCCAACTAGACCAGGCTGCCCAGGGCCTCGTTGAGCCTCACCTTGAATATCTCCAGGGATGGGGCCTCAACCACCTCCCTGGGCAACCTGTTCCAGTGCTCCACCACCCTCACAGTGAAGAACTTTCTCCTAATCTCCAATCTAAATCTGCTCCCCTCCAGCTTGAAGCCATTGCCCCTTGTCCTGTCACTGCAGGCCTTTCTAAACAGGCTCTCCCCAGCCTTCCTGTAGGCCCCCTTCAGGTACTGGAAGGCTGCTATTAGGTCTCCCCGGAGCCTCCTCTTCTCGAGGCTGAACAACCCCAGCTCCCTCAGCCTGTCCTCGTAGCAGAGGTGCTCCATCCCCCGATCATCCTTGTGGCCCTCCTCTGGACCCTCTCCATTAAGTCGATATCTTTCCTATATTGAGGCTCCAGACCTGCACACAAGACTCCAGGTGAGGTCTCACCAGAGTAAAGTGGAAGAATCACCTCTCTGGACCTGCTAGCAATGCATCTTCTGATGCAGCTCAGGATGTGATTGGCCTTCTGGGCTGCAAGTGCACACTGCCTGCTCATGTCCAGCTTCTCGTCCACCAGCACCCCCAAGTCCCTTTCCTCAGGGCTGCTTTCCAACACCTCACCCCCTAGTTTGTATTGGTGGCGAGGATTGTTCCGGCCCAGGTGCAGAACCTTGCATTTGCTCGTTGAACCTCATGAGGTTCACCTAGGCCCACCTCTCCAGCCTGTCCAGAACCTTTCCTCAGTTTCATTTTTAAGTGATAACAGATGTAAAACAGCAACTGACAGATGACTTTCAGTTCCATCAGTAGCGGAACAAAGTTTCAAGGGAAGGATACTTATGCAGTAACATAGTGTCAGTCCAGTAAAATAAGCACACACATCATTCCAATGGCGAAGGCTGCAAAAAAATGAAACTTTATATTCTAGGTAAAGGAGTCATCTTTTAATACATTTATTGGTCCATTCCATTAAATTAATTGAGGTAAACAAATGGTGCATTTTAAAAAAATGTACACACTAATAGAGAATTACAAACAGTTTTACCTCAAAGTGTTTTTCTCCATCAATACTAGCTCCATAGTAAACAATGCACAAAGTCTATTTATACAGAGATATATGAAAGGGTATAGAAACATGCCAGCACCAGAAGGCAAGACAACATTTCATAGCCTGCGAGTCTGAACAAGAGCACAGTTGCCAGATTTGGTCGAGTGCAGGAAACAAAAGCCTCCTTCCCATTTTCACATTGTTTACTGGCTAATTCACACAGAAACAAGTCTTTTCACAGCTTTTGTTTTTTGGTTTTGAATGGTATGAACGGTGACTCTAGCTCCGGCGAGTAGGTTTACAGAGGCTGAGAGGGGAAGAGTCTGGGCAATGAGTCAGCACCGTTTTTGGGATATGGTACTGCCACCTTCAACAAGGAGGGGGATGAGGTCCACCTCCGCTCACAGCCAGCTGGCCTCCAACACCTCCACGGCCCAGCTCCCCACACCTCGGGGAAGGACAGAGGGATGCAGGCACAGAGGAGGAGAGAACAAGGACGGTGCGGCTTTATTTTCACAGACTGAAGACAGAAGCCCTTTGGCTGTTTGCAGTTGTAAGACTACCCCCCTGCAATCTGTCCACTGGTGCAGTGGGAACACGGCACTGGCCCCAACCCCGCTGCTTCACCTGAAGGTATGGACACACATCCCAGCAGCAGAGTTAAGGAAATGGTGTAGCTTCAAAGCATAGAGTACCGAGACCTTCCGAGTAGTCCAGGACAGTGACTAGCCTTTAGTGTTTTAGCATGCCACTTACATAAGGTGTTCTAATTAGGCATTTTTGGAAAGTGCATTATTTTCTGCACAAGTACTGTGCCTTGGCCGTGCAGCCTTAAAACCAGCCCCGTTCATTACCGAGCACTTGTACAAGTCAGATGCCCCGGCAAGACTCCAAAGCGCTAAGCATAGAATTAGGTATTGACATTTAAATTTCATACAGTTGATTAAACAGCACTCCCAAAAAGTTTAAAATACAATATTCACACCGCCAGAAGGCTAGTTTATTCCTGTGATCCCCGGTTTTACTTAAAAAAAAAAAAAGTCTGATAAGTAGTAGCAAGTTCCCTACCTTAAAAAAAAGACTCCATTTCCCCTGTTTATTGGTTGTTGTAGTAAAAGTTAATATATCAAGGGAAGGGCTGCTCTACCTTCAGAATTTATGAAGGCTGAATATCTAATGAGCTAGTTTAGTCTATGCAATTTTGCTCAGTGGTTAGCAGCACCAGGATTTTAAACAGTCTTCAACATTAATCACACACAATTAAATTGTGCAAGTTTTAACAACAGCGTGGCTCCTCCTAAAACACTGAACAGTCCTTGGTGGGCTAGGAAGGAATTCTTTTGTATCTTGGCATATGCAGGACCAACACCTGAAGCAATATGCATCACAGTCTGTGCAGAGCCACTGCTGCAAGGCCACCTCACTGTACCTCCACAGGACCACCTCTGCCACTCATGCTTTACAGATGTTCCTACCACCTATCCCACTATTCTCTCCTTAGCACAAGTGCCAGTGTGACAAAAATCCAAGTAGACTTCAGAGGAGAAACCATAATTTATTCTTTGATACAACTCACATCAGAAGAGTTCGTGTCTTTAGGGCTACACCTGTTTCCTTTTCATTTTTCAATGGATACCTGAAAAAGCCATGATGTTTCAACATCTGTTTATTGCAAGAGTCAGAACCTGGTAAGGATACATACGAACAATGCACGGTTCATTACTGAGCATGAAAACAAGATCTCAGTGCTTGCTTTGTTGTGCTGGTGCCAGTTGAGAGAAGAAACAAACATCCCAGAAATTACACAGAAGTAACCAAGACAGCAGTGAGTTAGGCATCCGCTGAGAAAAATCTTGGTCTGGCTATGGATTACAAGGAAAACTGGGCTCATTTAAGGATTATTGAAGGACCCATGTGTCACATAGGCTTACAGAAAGGGTGCAACTACTTTTGATGTTGTTTTAGTGCATATGCAGAGGCTGACCTTAAATGACTGAACACTCCAGAAGTTATTCAAAGATGAAGCTCCTGCACTACTCCTGCTTCCCTTTACCAACACCTTTTAGCTTTCACACTTCAGGTTCAGGCCATCCAAAGGAGTGACTCCTGTCCTGTAAGGGTTACAGGATAACACGTCAGAGTTTCTCTAACAGTTTAGATCTCAGCCCCCTACTAATAGCAGTTAAGTGCACTCTTTACAAATGCCACTCCTTACATCTTACAGGAGTTTCCTGCTATTTTAGAGTTCTCCTGTTTGGCACTGCTCCCCCAAGCCTCACAATCAGGACCTTCCCCATACCTCACAGCCTCTCCCGCAGTTAACTAGAGATTTACAGCAGCTCTTTATAAAGACACTCCATCGCCCATAGGAGCTGAGAGATCCATCACTACGCACCCTTCTTACACTGCAGCAATGAATGTAGGAGTCCTTTTCTGAATGTTAAGTTTTACTTTCCTTGTTAGGGGCTTAAGAGGTTTTGGTGTTCCAGATGATAAAAGAAATCCTATTAGTGGCCACAGCCTGAGGCACATGTTGCATCCTCTCCTCCAAATCAACTTGCAGATGCTACAGAGCCACATACTCCAACAGGGAACTGCAAAGCACACCTGCCTTTCAGCAGCTTAGCCAGAAAGGGATTACCTGAAATTGAAACATGCTTTGGTTGAGGAACAGTTTAAAAACCATGCTGCAGAATCAGTGGCATCAGATTAAAAGAAAATCTCAGCTGATATTCAACAGCTCCAGGCTCAGCAGTTACACACTGATCTCAACTTCACTTGGTACTCCCCACTGTCCATTATGCTTCCCAGGAACAGCTGTCATGTCAATTGCTAAGTTCCCCAGAACCAACACTCACTTCAGTTTGACATAAAACTAAGAGGGAATAGGACATCAGTGTTGCAAGGCATCAGACAAATCCTACTCACTAGTAGGAAAAAAGCCCACCCCTCCTACTCATCCTGCACTTTTTTTATAAGGTGGAGAGAAGACTGCTGAAGTATTAGTGCAAATTACATTTTGCTCAACTCCCAGTTATGTTGCAGAGTCAACTACAAAATTCCATGTACCACACAGGAACCAGCTCAAAAAAAGTATGTTGATCTCTGTTTGTGGGAAATAGGGGAGACTGTAACCCTGAAGGTCTGACTGTTAAACATTACACAAGTGCTTATTTTAGAAGGGAAAGGTTGAGGAAAACACTTGATTACTGCTTCAAGATGATCCCCTTAAGCACTTCCCTTGCACAACCAGAGTAGTTTGTCATTCTGGACCTAACAGCACCTTAAAGCAGAGTTCTTGTTTACACCAAGTAAGTGTATATTGATAAACTGTGAGCTTAAACCAAAAAGCATAGTTTGTTTAGCCTCCATTGACAGCTCTGTGGTACTAAGTCAAAAAGGAAGACCTCTTAAAATATCTTAAACTTGACTTTTGCACCCAGAGAGCATCATCTCATTAGGCTGGCAGCTACCACATTGCTGCAATAATTCATCTTGACAGTTGCTATAAAGCCACCAAGCTAAGGGGGGGCTTCAGGTACACTTGGTGTTTACGAAAGGATGAAGTCCAGACCAGAAGGATACCTGGTAGGTCATCATAGGAGAACACAGAAGTTGCATATATTCAATTACTGCTCAGATTCTTTGCAAGAATATTGCCAGAGATCAAGTTATCACTCCAGTTTAGCAGTAAGCACTCATACCTATTTATTCCCCCAAATCCCAATATTACACTGATATTAGCTCCAAACCCCCTCACTTAGGATGGTTAAGAGGGATTTATCTGCATGCTGTTAAACCAAGACTCTGGGATCCTGGGAATCACGGCAGTATTCCTAAGACCATTAACACCAAGTAGGCATTTCCTTGAGGGTGGACTGCAAGAGAAAGGGGGAGGAAAAAAACAAAGGGACTTGCAGAAGCAGTTACACTTCTAAAGGCCAACAAAAACTATTAAGAAAATAGATCTGTACCAAAAGTAGTCTTAAAAGACTTGCTGTGTTGCTCAGAAGAGATAGTTATGAACGCTATGTGTAGCTAACAGGGTACTTATCTACCCCCACCAACCTGTTTAAGGCAAGTTTCACACACGATGCTTGGTGTAAGCAGGTATTTGACACTTTCTGGCTTTTGGCTGCTGCAAAAAAAAAAAAATGGGGAGAGAAAGCAGAGTTCTACCTTTACTACAGCAGGCACCATGCCCAAAGTGCCTCTAGTTCAGAAAAAAAAAGTTTAAAGCATGGACCAAGAGAATACTACCATGCAACTTCCAGAGACAGCATCAGAAAAAAATACACCGAAAACTCACACTTTTTTCCACCATTCCCATAAGCCTCAAGAAGCTGCTCTTCTACTCGCTCCCACAGCTAGGCTGATTTTGATCCCCAAGTCAGTCACAAGTACACTCCAGCCAACTGACATTACTTCATAATCACCAAGGTAAACAAAGATACTCAGTATGAACCAACAGCATGCCACACTGACAAAAACCACAGATCATGCTTGCAGGTGGTGTTGGTATGTTCTGTCCAGGACCAGCCCAACTCCCACACAGAAAAGTCTCCAGAAACCGTTTAATCCAGAGGGAGCACATGGGCGGTAGCAAAACAGAAAATATCCATTTCCAGCCTTTCCCTGTCCATCCAAAAATAGGGATAAGGATTGGTTAGAGAGTACTGTATCATAGGAATAATTATTATTTTTTCTTTTTTTTTCTAGCAAACAAAACAGAATGGTAATAAAGATGTCATTTGGCACCTTGCAGTAGAGTTTTATTTTCATCTTTTTAGTGTTCCACTCATCAGTTCCTTCCAGACTAAAGAGGTAAGTTTTATCAAGATCCCCGTGCACTTTCAATATGAACCCCCAATCACTCCATAGGATAAAGAAGGAACCATTCAAGATAACTCAAAAAGATGAAACATACCCCAGTTTAAACACAGAAAGTGAGGAAAAAAATTCAAATAGTTTTCAGAGCGTCTGTTCCAGCCCAAGTGCAGCTGGCATTTCAGTTAACTTGACAAAAGGAGTCCTTCAAAAAGTTCCAGTATGTCTAGTGGTACTGAGCATAGAAGTGCTAGACTGTCCATGAAGGTACTTCTTATTTGGTCTCTGGCTTGTCTTGCAATAGTGGTATAATTGACTCCCACGCCGTAAGGCACTGAAGAAAGAAGATTAAAAAAATGGATTGTACATCAGTTCTTGTAACTTTTGATCAACCCTTCCAGACCAACAGAATGCAAGTTCACAATGGCTAGCCAGGTCTTTATAGATTATTGCAGAAGAGGGGTGAGGAATCTCTAAAAGCCATAACTTGTTCAGAAAGAATAGCTGCAGTTCCCAAAAAAAACAAATTAAAGCTTTCCAAAGTCATCAGCTGGCCCAAGCTATTAAAAACCACCAGGATACCCAGTATTTCCAAATATCAAGCTAGATTCTTCTAAACTGAGGAACACCACAGCTTTCAGCTAGGGAGACAACCTGTTTCTAGTGGAAATTTACATCTTTGTGGTGTGACTGCGGGAGAGGGCTGTCTGGACACAATGGCAGCTATTATAGACTTCCTCCAGCAATCTTATTTGAAAAATTGCATTTAGGGAGGATAGTTCAGGGACACAGTGTACTCTGGTACACCTCTGGCACTTGAACTTCACTACACAACAAAGTGGTAGCACCTGGTATAGTAAAATAAAAGTGGAGTCTAGCCTCTAGGTTATTAGAAAGTCACTCCAGGCTTTGGAGTCATTTCCCCAGACGCGTACACATATCCAATTCTTGTGCTGTGAACCATTACTGCCTTTCAACTATGTACAGCCCAGAAGTCAAACTGGACAAAAATACTGTGGAATACATATTATTAAACACCAGCAATGGGGAAACTCATCACCAGTGCTTACATCCACAAGTCACTGTTGCCAAGCATCTTTCAGTACAATCAGCAAGATTAGACGGAAGTGCACAGAGTATTTCTAGATGTGTATCCTGAAGTGACTAAATGCTTTTCCTACCAAAGAGCTTCCTTGCTGCAGCTAAGAGCAAAACTGACATGTACAGATTTAACTGTCAGTTGCAGGGGCACTCCTGGATGTTCAGTGGACTCCTTAATCCCTCCTGCCACAACAGTCTCAGAATAGAGAAGAGACCAGGGTGAAGGAAGTTCTATGTGACTAGTTATGAACCACTGACAAGACAGACACTGGCCGGGGCAAAGGAAGCACATATTAATATTACATGGATAGGTAACCTAGCACAAGAAGTTTGTAAAGTAGGTGTGGAAAAAAGCAACAGGCAAGATTAAGTATGTCACCATGCATAAGCCAAGTAGTGTTTAACATATCAACCACCACTGCTCAGTAATTTGTTCAGTTCAAGAGTGCAAGACAGGCAAGCAGACAGGATGAAATGCAGGGCTGCCTTGCAAAGGACTGCTAGTCTCATGCAGATCACTTGAGCATGACCATCAACTCAATAGATTACACTAAGCTGCTGACAAAGAGCAGCTTCTGCAGCCCCAGACAACTGATTTACATGTCCAAGATTCTTTTCAAGACTGCATGAAGATTTCCTGAAGAATTATCACCACCTCAGAGGAAAATAAACTGTTCTTATTCCTGCTAATGTTCTAGCAGTGCCACATACCTTCTCGTAGTACTGGATGTTTTTATCTGCCATGCCCATGAGTAGCTGCCTAAAGTCTTGTCTTTTGTTGTTCTGCCATCTCTCCATGTCTGCTTTCAGGTCAGCATTGAAACACTCTACTCGGTCTTGACATTTCTCAACATCTGTCGGTACCTGCAAGAAAAGAAATGAAGATTGAAACTGTCACTGAGAGTGTCAGACTGCTGAATCAGCTCAAACCTCACTGAGCAAAGTTACAGAAAAATGGGTAAGTTAACCCAGTTATGGCTGCAGGGACAAAAGGAGGAGATGTGACTGCTTAATTTGTTTTCTGCTGTGTAAGGTGGTGGGCAGTTGTGTTTGTCCATCTCCACACCAGAAATGAAGCCAGACCACGGAAGAGCTCTCTAGAGACACATGAAGAAGAAAGCCATTTGGGACAAGTGCTGGGTGCTTAAGCTCAACACCAGCTCCAGAGCAAGCTTTCTCTCCTCTTTCCATTTATAGTTGCACCAGGCATTTCCCAATTTACCCTAGTGTCTATGAAACAAACATTTTGGTTTGACCAAAGAGCTGGATAAGAGCTCTCAGTGTTACCTCTTGACCATAGTATACAAACAGTAGTCATCAACTATGGCTGCAGAATGAAATTCCTAAGCCTCTAGTTTCTAGCTTCCACTTTTAACCCTAAGGCTGCCTGAAAAAAAATTGAAGTGCAAAGCACTGATGAATCATAATGAAGGGAACAGAAACATTTCCCTATGGATTGGCTCATGGGCCTTTCAGCTCAACACAGTCACACAAGCAATGGGAGAAATCTTGAAGGACAGCCCACTGCAAGCCTAGGTAGAGATTTAAATGGATTATGACAGCAGTCACTGGCCCAAGGTAGATGCACACTGGGCCAAAAAAGTTGGTATCCTTTGCTTATGTTTTAACAAACATCATGTATACCACCAGGCAGCTACAGGAACAATTTACAAATGTTTCTTCAAGCAGGAAACCTATGAATACCTTTCTCTCCCTGCATGGTCCACACAGATGGGAAGCCTGTAAGGACATGCAGACTGAGTCCATGACCTCTGAAGAGGAAATTTCTCAGCTCTAGCACCAATGTGAGAAGTGAACTTCTGCTCTGGAACCTGTGATTTGCACAAAGGCAAAGGGCAGAACAAGGAAGAAGATTTGCAGTTGTTTCTAGAGGCTCTTCTCATACTTGATACTTTCAGGAAGTTCCCTTCAATGAAGGAAGGGTTCCTTCTTCGTGAAGGAAGGAAGAGGATGAACAAGCTATGTAAGCAGCTTTTCATGGGTAACAATATAGGGTGTCAGGGGTGAGCTACTACCTTGCAGTTTGGCAAGGTACACAACTTAAGCAGAAATATATCAACTCCAGATGTCAATTAGCACTGATCACATTCCATTGACTAATACTCAAAGGTCCTATGTTAGTTCTCCAGTAAAGCTGTTTGAGACGCAGGAAGCACCTCCTTCATACTCATGGGATTTGAGCAGCCCCTTTATTCACACAACTGGACTTACACTACAGGCAGCTTGGGGGTTCATTAGCTACACACTTCCCCCACCCCCTACAAGCACCATACTTCTGGCTACAGAATCCACTCTGCTCATCTAAGCAGTTGTGACTCTAGACATGAAGATCTCTCATAGGCTTCAGACAAGAACTACCAAGCCTGTGTCTGGAAGGTTTAGAAGATGTTCCCCTCAAGGCACGTATGCCTTATGTCATATTTGTAAGTAGTCTACTGTCTTAACAAAAAAGCCTAGGCTATCAGGAGAAAGAGATGTAAAGTCTGGAAGAAAAACCACATAAGATTTCCCAATACAATTAAGTTAGTTTCTAAGCACTCACCAGCTTCCTGTTTCTTCTGCCATGATCTGAAACCACAATGCAACTATTAAAAAAAAAAAAGTATCTGCTTTTTCTCACAGCCAATCCTCCTGCAGGTCAGGCTGAGAGGGCTGCACAAGTTTAGAGCAACAGAGACAACCCAGTGGTCAGCAAATGAGTCATGTATGCCCTAATTAAGGGACAAGGGCAATGAACACCAACTAAGTCTCCACAGGCACCACGAAAGCAGAGCCTACATACGCACCAGTCCTGTTCAGGAGTGTAAATACCTTTCCCTCCAAAACTGCAGTTTCCCAGAACAGAATGTGCAACTCAGTAGCTGAAACAAAATTTTAAGTTGATTAACAGCTTTTAAGCACTTTACACCTAGTGCAACCTTAATGAAAAGGGAGGTTACAGTTCTAACATCAAATTTGGACTTAAGTTGAAACATCAATGCTGATGCTTTTATCTGCTTTTACCACCGGAGACGTTAAATATTAGCTATCAACTAGGAAGTGAGAAGAAAGAAGACTGGACTTTGGGGGAAGTTGCTGCTTTCTTACTGATGGCTGCAGTCAGCTAATTTAATAGCTCCAAAAAAAAAAAAAACCACCAACCCAACTCCAAAACCAAGTGACAACTGTCTCAAACTGCAATACGTTCCAGAAGGACCCATCACTATTTTAGCAAGTTAAACTGATAGGAGATGTATATGCAGGCAAGAACAGAGTATGAAACTGTATATTCTGGAGTCTGGTCACCTCATTACATCTATTCTTCACCACCTACATCTATTCTTCTTCAAATAATTCTTGAGACCAGACACAAAGTATGCCTCGCATCTAGAACTTAGCAGAGTTGAGTGCAGACAGCATCACTTGCAGCATAAGCATGTCCACTTTTTTAAAAAACTCCTCTACAGCATCATTACCACATAATAAATCGTCCTGAAGCACAACGAATCCAGCACTTATTAGGCAACTAACATATATTTTTATCTTTCTAGTTCTCTGGAAACATACTGTTACAAGCCTTTTTTTTTCCCCCCTTTAAATACATATAGTAACTTTCTACGTCAAATTCTGCGCTGCTATATTTAATGTTCCCATAGATCACCATACTGCAAAGCCTTCAGACAGACAGAATAAATTAGGTCATCAGCAGTGGACTTCATTTCACCAAAAGGAAACAATGTCTGCACTTCACTAAACTGGCTAGATTACTGCAAAACCAGCTCCAGCGTGGGTCAGAAATGGCTAAGCAGCAATTCACCACCATACTTGTCAGAAACAGAAAGACAGCAGAGTCTGCACTGTTATGATAGTGTTAAAAAACAACACACATACTAAGCTTTTGGTGTAAGCTTCAGCATTCTGAGCAGTATTTGCTGACAGACATTGACAGCAGTCCTACAAGTCTTCTGCACTTATAGGCTGCCAAGTTTTAAGCTGATCATGTCAATGTGAGAATGACCTAATGACACCGCTGGAGCTTTCTGAAGCCAATCTGACTACATGTACAGTGAGTCCCAGAATGCCCTCCAGTGGAAGAGATTAACAAGTAATGATAGGCCCTTCTTTCATGATCCAAAAGTAGGCCTTTTTTCCCCCTGTAAGTTTTAGGGGTGTTTTGTTGGTTTTTTAAACATAATTTCCGTCAAATCAGCTAAATATGCCAAAAGGAACACAAACGCCTGTTCACTGCATAATCCAGCTCATGATCATCACTCTGATTGTAATTTCCAGCAAATTGTAGCCAGGAGACCTTGCTGAATGTAAGATGTGCTTCTAGCCACTGCTCTGAGCTACCAGCTCTTACAGACAAGGACATTCCCTACAGTAGAAAGAATCTAAAAACCACAAGCTAGTATTTTATGAACATGCAGGGAATTCTGTTAGTTTGTTCAACTTCCATCTTGTAAATGACACAAAAGACTTACGTTAGGAAAAAAGCTACACAGAGTTGCCAAAAGATAATGCTTACAGTCTGGAGAGGAGACAAATATTCAAAAAATTCTTAGCTATTTAAGTGCTGTGCTTTAGACAATCCACTGAGAGGTGAGACACAAAAGCCTTTTAGTAGGTGAGAGATCAGCAAACTTCAGCAGTTTCACTGCATCAAGATCTTGACAGAGTCAAATGCCTAAAAGCCTCGATTGGCTTGCTGGATGTGCTAGATTTAGATTCCCCCTTTCCTACATAAAACTTGTTGGAATACCTACTTACACAAAGCTACACTGAGGAAGTAAGAATACTTACCACCCCTGCCAGCAGTGGAGCAGGCAAAAGACAAAAATACAAGAGCACCACAAGATATCCAGGACACCACTATTTCTAGTCACAGACATAGGACCAGAGAAACATCTGTTTGCATTTCTATGCTCTGTCCTCTTTAGCTTCTTAAAGACATTATGTGAACTTCCTGTAGTTCTATTGCACAGTAGTCCTAATACCAGGAAGTCACCCATTGGTTGAAATAGATGAAGGAGAACTAAAAAAACCCCAAGCAGAGGAAGGGAACAAAACCTGTTGTCACTGTTGTTTAAAGCTGCAGTGATTTAAGACACGGCTCTTGCACATTGCTTCAGGCAGAAAGCAGGTGGCAGCAGAAGCACACCAGTTTATGGTTCCCTTCTGCATGAAGCCCAGCCAAAACCCATCACCCGCTGCTGTGTCTGCTCAGCATCACACAGGATGGGCACCCTAGCAGAAGGGGCAAAATACAGAGCCTTCCACAGCCACAACGGGTGTACCACAACACAATTCAGCAGCACCAGGGCTAGGACCTTAGCTCAGATAGCTTACATACTGTTCTACCACTGCTTCAGCCCCCACAACTAAACACTCCAACCGATTGCTGGCTGTTGTTCAAGTGTTACACAGGTTGGAGCCATCCTGCTCCCAATGGCAGGAGATCAGAAGTTGCTGGACAGGTTATATATGCTGATACCTCAGTCTTCATTTCACACCAGCTTGCCAACAACAAACTTCTGTTCTACCAGAAATTGCTTATAGTGCAAAGAAGCCACCAGACACAGACAAAGCAAGTTCTGTTTCTCTGTTCTTCTCAGGCTGTAAGTGCAAGCTGATTTTGTAAGGTAGTTTTAAGTGCTAACCTTTGGACGGTCTTCTTTTTTCAAGGCTACTGCTTCCAGTTTTGCTTCATACTCTGCTTGAACTTGGTCTCTTTTCTTCAATACATTCTATGGACAAGAGAAAAGACAGTTGTGAGAGGGATCCCATTGTTTTTTCCCTCCCCAGCCTGCAAGAAACTGCAAAGAGATATAGCTTAAGTGCTAACTCAATCTTAAATCAGACTTTCAGACTGGCTTTTTCCTATTTTACAGTATTTAGCAAGTAGCTTTTAAAAACAAAAAGCACTTAATCTCCAGCAGCTGGAAAGGTCAGATAAAATTCAAGTTTTGGACAAGCTGGGGGCATGTAAGATAAAAGCTGTCATGCAGCCATGACCATAACCCTAAGTAAATTCAATTAATCAGTTGACCTATTATTAGCATGAAAAGGATATAAACAAAAGCATCAAAACTGTCAAGGACTAATGCAAACCTTTTGATAACCTCAAGCAGCAGACACAACAGCATGGGCTAAGAGACAGGAAAGCCACCACAGAAGGTATTACATCTTTCTTTTCACTTGCAAAGACTCCTCAAAGTCCTCTATAGCAAGATGCTACATTCTTATGTTAGAACAAAAGTAAGCTTTGCTTTTAGATCTGCTTGGGGAGTTTGGTTGGTTGTTGAATTAAAAAAACAAAAAGCACAATTTATGTTAAGAGGCACTGAACTACCTGAACAAGTTTCACAAGTAGTAAATATTTCATTGACAGAGTATTCCCAGAATAGAGAGCAAAAGATGCTACCCTTATCTTGTACTACATCCACAAGGTTATTTGTAATTGTGCTACTAGTTCTACTAAGGTTATACTACAGTCTTATAATTGGAAAATAACCACAGGCGTTTTTAAGAATATACTACTAAAAAAATAAGTAGTTCTCTGTCAGCAAAAGTGGGTAACTTGTTTTCTTGTGAAGACTGAAGCAACTAGTAATTTTTTTATAGCTCAGTTGATGCAAAGTTATTATGAAAAATGGGCAGAGGATAGTCAGTCAACACTCACTGCTGAGGTACCTGTAAATCTGAACTTCTCTTGAAGCCCACTTACCTAGTTCATGTTCAAATCTTCCTTTCTGCCACCCAGAAGGAATTATGCCATTAAGACAAAAAGTAGTAACTAATTTTAACAGTTTCAGAGAAGGCTAGTAAACCAGGACTAGTCACATGCACTGATGCCTACATATGTATCTGTTTTTTAAAAGAGTAATTCTCACAACTTTCAGAGCTACTTTAGCCAAGATCTATTTCCTAATTAAAGATGTACAAAGCCTGTATCTATTAATCATCATCTTCCCCCTCCTCGCTCATAAGCAAGGGAAGTTCACCAGTGCAGTTGCTCTAGAGATAAGACATGTTGCAATCAATATTCTTACAAGCCTCAGTCCGTGATAAATGGGAATGGCACACCATACACAAAGTTGCTACTGGTTTACGCTAAAAAAAGGGGGTAAAATGGAAAAATTCACCCTCAACAGTTTAACACTCCCTTTTGTCCCCAAAGAGATGCAAGCAAGCATGCCATTGGTTAGCTTGAAAAACCACAGTATTCCCCTTCCTTTTGGAATTTAAGCAACTATGTGGAATAGCCCTTAAGTGATTGAGGTTACCAATGCAACAAAAGCCTGGGAGATTTAACAGGTATTTCTACTTTGCATTGCCTCTTGAACCTCAGTCAACAGAAATTTCTTCTCAAATGAACTGCCTCCAGCAATTGCATTCAGCCTCTAGGAGCCTGGAGTTAGTGCAGTAAGCTGGACCTGCACCAGCAGCAGCCAATGATTAACAGGCATCAGACAACGAGATTCAAGGGGCAGGTGTCTTATTTCTCCTTAAGTGCTCAAATCCATCCACTGCAGGCCATTAACAATACACTTCTGAACACAGCTTTAAGTAGCCCTTAATGGCTGACCTGTAAGTGATGAGAAAATTATTGCCTTCCCTTTCACTTGTCCCATATGTGAAAGGAAGCATTTCCTCTGGCATCTCCAGGCAATCTCTTCTCAGGTGCAGATCAATGCATTAATGCTTCAGCAGCTCCTCTGAAAAGCTCTGTACCAAGTATCCCCAGACTTACCACAGCCTAAGCAACACTTAGACTAGTTAAGGTCTCACAGAGAAAAAAATGAAATAAATTTTAACAAGTTGGAAGAAACCAACAAATAGAAAAAAACTCACACACCGCATTTCAGTTATTTGGGGACAGAACTAAACCACTAGTCCCCCATATGAGAAAGGGTTAGCTTGCTTCTCCATTTTCTATTTAGCTGAAACATTTCACCTTAGCCCATTTCTGAAGGAGTTCCAAGAGTTTCCCATCAGCCTCCTTTCTCAAACTGCAAGCCTATGCCATTTGCACACCCCAAAGCTTCCCACTACAACTACATCTCACAAGAGGATCCTTATTTACTGCAGGCCTTTAGAGAGACAACTATTCATGTGGTGCTTGGTTTAAACATGCATTAAAAAGCATTGTCCAGGCACACTGCTGGGGATCACATCACCTGGTAAGCCCTTCCGGCAGTGTTAAGCATAGAGTTCATTTAATATTTTAATATCAGCACTAAATTATGTAAAATGGAGAAGATAAGCCTGAACACCCTGGGTCAAGGCTTCCAGCTACAGCTCAGGGTGTTCCAGCAACACTTGGTGTTAATAGTTCTGTAAATAAAATGCACCTCATTTTTGCTAGGGTCAACACCATGACTATGAAAGCAAAGAGCACACTCAGGGAACTAGTGCAAAGCCTTCTGTAAGACTACTTCATCCAGGCAAGATAGGAGCCATACAACTAGCCATCTGAAGCCAGGAAAAGAAATCTGAAAGTGTTTTAATTCTCAGTTAAAGAAGTACAGGATCACTAAGATTGAGAAGGACTACCATGTTCAGACTGTAGGTTTAAAACAGGCTACTAGATCTCTAAAGGAGTATATACCATAGCCTTGTAATGGTTGTTCCAAATAGGAAGTCCTCAGAAGGAATTTATTAGTTAGTACCCTATAGAGGGACTGCTAATACATATTGTATGATGGGTATGTGGTGAAAAGCTCTAGCAGCTGAATTAGAGTCCTTGGTTTCAGTTTTCAATGCAGTTAACTCAGTGATTCTTTTCCCCATGCAACAGGATTGACTACCAATACCCCTTAACTTCAGGAGAATAAAAAGTGCATTGAAGCAGCTTTTATTACTTCTGCACCAGCAGGAAGATACCAAGTTCTTACAGAGATTAAGAGTCACAGAACAACATCTATAAGCAGTTACTTGGTATGCAGAACTTAACAGAACTTTACAAGAGACACATCCTGCCCAGGTTATGGGGATGAGAGAGGAAGCAGTGTCTGTCATTTGGACACATGGGTCTAAAAAGACACGCAACCCTGCTACATACAACCGACAGAAGCTGCTAATGCTACCTTTTCTGCAGCCACTGACCCAGTAGCAGAGAGCTGAGCCACAACTGACTTTCTAACAATTCAAAGAGAAGAGTCTAGGCAGCCACTATAAAGCACCAGCTGCCACTCCAGCAAAGGAGCAACTCTTCCACACTTTCTGTGCACCTCAGAATTACTGACCTTAGCTTGACTGAATAGCATATAGATAATGCTACCCACGCAGCACCCTAAACATTATCTAGTTTTGTTTTGATTACGAAAACAACCTCCTACTTAATGTATGATTTACTTCCCCACTTTTCCCACCACTAACACTTTTCACTGTTAGAAAGAATGAACTCGCTGCTGTATCATGCAGACACAGTGACAGTGTCTTCTGCCACAGGGCTTGCTTTACCTTCATCGACTCCGAGTACAATATATATTCCCTAAGGACAGGCAGGAAGTCTTCTGTCATGTCTTCACTGAGTTCTTCAAGAGCTGTGCAGCAGTTCCCAATACAGGCAGACACCCCCTCCAGGGGCTCTGATAGCTCAACCTCCAGCCCTCCCCAGGTTGAATAAACAGGTCCATATTCTCGTAGTTCCACCAAGTATTCTGCAAGAGGCAGATGGAAAAGTAGATTAACAGAGTAAGAGCAAGGCACAAGGATCTGCAAGCACTCCCACTAAACAGGAGAAACTAAGCTTGGCAAACATTAACTCCCCCAGGAGACAAGTCTTGTGTCGCGTTTGCATCTTGATAGACAGAGCTCTGTGGCTGCACAGCTGACAGAGCTCTGTGGCTGCACAGCTGACAGGTTCAAGTTGCCTCCTGCTTAACTGACCATTCCTACAAGCTTCCAATAAAGACACTTGCATCTGTGTAGTAGCCAAAGCAATTTTTATTAAAATGTATGTAAAAATTCAGCTCTGCTAAGACAGGTCTGTAAAGGCTACCTTTGTCTAGAAAATCCATCCCTACTTCTCCAGATGAAATCTACAGGTTTTGTCCCCCTCACAAAAGCCTTTCCAAAAATAACTCTAGTAAGAGAGCAGGTTGGTATAACACAAACAGTGACTAAAAAAAGTATTTGGGAAGTTGAGCTAAGATACTCTGTTAGGCTTTGGGCTGGTTTTAAACCAGACATTAGATTTTGCTCTGTGTGTGGCTCATTACAGGCCAGAATCATTGACGCAAGTTGTTTTGGTCAAGCCATCAACCAGAACAAGATACAGAGCACTCAAACTGAAGTATCACAATAGAGCACCTTGTGTCCTTACCCAGCTGTTCCTTGATAATCCGTTGTGCTATTCTGTCAATGGTACCAAGCTTTAGAGAGAATGTGTCTAGGTACTCCCCAATGGCTGCAAACTCCATTGGACGACTTCTTAATTTGTAGCCTCCTGTGACATATTTGACAGACTCCCCCATCTTTGATAGCAATGCCATTCCTTGCTTTTTGTAGGCATTGAGATCCTAGGACATTAAAAAAAAAATATTAGAAAAATATTTCACTTGCATGTTGGAAGAGTACTACAGTGAAAGATACTTTCCAGACAAGATCAAACCTTGTGAAGGCAAGAGATTACATGTGATACATAGCCTTGGACAAAATCTCCCTTTGTACAAGTTGTAAAGCTGAGCATAGTTTCAAGACTACCTCTAGATGGAGATAAGCTATCTAGGAGAACGGTATGAAGTACACTATAAATGAGTGGCCAGACTTTCCCATGTTCTTGTACTCCCACCAGGGAAATAGTAGTATTAACAGCTGTTTCCACCAACACAGCTCATGCCATTCATCCACACACACTTTTAAAGCCATAGCCCACAATACCAGCATTATGCAATGCACCAGCTGGCTCCTATAACCGAGTACAGAGCTACATATTGCGTGCCTATTTGGTCAGCAGCCTCCTCACACCAGTCGTGTGCTCAGAGGGGAAGAGGGAAGAGTGTACACAGAAAAAGCAGAGCATGGGGACAACAGCACAGTTTCTCTACAAGACAGATTCCATGGCTCAGGCTGGGTCAGAGGTAGCCTGGTTAACTGCACTGAAAGTTTAAGCTTCCTGGCTAATGCTTTTCATCTTTGCATAAATGAACATCCGGACAATCTATGTTAACAAAGTTTTTTATCTACAGTCTTCAGGGGATTTCACCTTGACAGCACATCAGAAAAAAAATAGTTTTAGTTAGCCAAAATGCCATCAATTTTGCATTTCACTCCTTCCAGCAGGGGTCCCCATTCGACACCTCAAAACAGGCTTCAGAGCTATAACTAGGTCATGCTGTGCAGCCCGAGGAAGAGATGTTTTCAAACCAAGTAGACTTGAAGAAGTGAAGAATCGAGACATGGTGTTACAGACCATACTAAAAGCTTAACTGTTCTTGGAAAAAGAACACAACAGCCATCTTCAAAATATATGCTACAGTGTTCTTCCCAAGTACTTAAGTAAAACATAAATCTGATTAAAAGAACCTGACATCTTAGCAGCTACTATGATTTTTAATTACATTTGCATTTAAATCCAGTGATTCCTTGACTCATGCCTTCTGCCTGTCCTAAGCATTATCTGCAAGCAGGCATCAGAAAAAGACTTTTGAACTCAAAATTATTTACTCGGTCTCTCAAGCATTATGGTGTGTTATTGGTGCAAAAGTGGAACTTGAAGAAAAGTTGATGTCTCTTTCATCCAGGAGATGGTCTCATGACTTTCTGCAGTAACTAAATTCTCAAGTCCCAGCACACTGAGCTGACTGAACTTGCAATACCGCAAGTTCCAACACTTGAGACAGACAGAAGAACACATGTCCTTTCCCCTCGGGCTCCCTGGATGCTCTGTATTCTCAAGGCAAGCCCTGCCCAGGGCTGAGCATAAAGTCCTTATTCATTTTACAGGGGTGGGAGAAGACAGCCAAACAAGTAAGAAAGTTGATCATCATGCTTTGACAGCTGAAAAGCAAGAACAAACCTATCTGACATTTAAATATTAAGGTGCTAAACAAATTCTGCATTTCCCTCTTGTTTCAGTGGTTAAGTTCACCATGGAGGGGAAATAAAAGGGAACTGGAGATTGAGTCTGACATTACCAGCAAGCAGAGCATGAGCCTGAAGTCAGCTCAAATTAAGTGTCACATTTGAGTGAGCAAGCATAATGTGACATTGGAAAGATGTGCTTTTACAGCTCTATCACTTATCAGGTCAAACCCAAGCATGACTGCAGGTCCTCCTAGTCTTATTTAAAATGCAGTTCAAAAGACAGCCAAACAAAATTGCACTGTTCCCAGATGAGTCACGCAGAAGATGAACATGAAGTTGTTGACTGAGAACAAACAAGAATAAGGTCTTCACACTAGGTAGTGAGGGCAACAAGTGCAAGCAGTATAGAAGACAAAGACAAGAAAAAAGTAATCTGCAAGTTTTTGTGGAAGATAGATCTCTCCTTCTCCCCCACTTCCGTCCTTCCCTAAAAAGGATTTTATGAAGTCTGCAGTTTTCTAAATTCTGAACCTCTCTTGCATCAGAGGAGTAGGTACCAGACACAGGGATACAAAGAAGCAGGTCTGGAGATCTGGATTTGTAAATCTGCAGACCACCTCTCCCTTCAAGCAAAGGGAACCCATACAGCTGTCACACACAGGGGTCTGTCACATACGACATTCAGGGTCCTCAACAACTCAGGTATTTTAGGGGGAGTTCTAACCTGCACATGTAGTTTTATTAATGCCTTTTTACCTTCATTTCAAAAGAGACTGCAAAGGTGCCTGCTCTGCTGTCTCTGCCAATGATGTTTGGTGTTTGGAAGTTACAGGCTTACCTTGGCTGTGAGAAACACGTTGAAGTGCTCATTAAAAGAAAGCACCGGGTGATCAGTTATTCTCTTCAAGAATTTGTCTAATGCTTTCCTCCTGGTCTCCACGAATTCTTCAGAAAAGCGATCGACAACACCCTTTACCACAAATTTCTCAGGAAGAGGCTGTCAGAGACAAACAAACCACACAAGATTCAAAAGACCGAAAACTTACTTCTGGTATTTGGAAACATACAAAGCAATCAAAATCCAGTCTTAGCAGGAACTGAAGTGTTATGTTTGCTAATAGCAACCATACATCAGATGGGATGCAAGCCCTGCTCTGAATTACCCTGGTCTGCCTTAATGCTAGCAATTCTACTGAGTGGTTTCAGCTGAAAGCCACATCAGTGAAGCCCAGACAATACTCATACTACCTACTTCCAGCATAGCTTGGGGTGTTTTCACTGCTCAAGCTCCAGCTCTAAAGGAGATGCCAGGAGAGCTGCACACTATACCCTACAGCAGTGCACACACTCACCCAGTGTGAAGCAAGCCTGTCAGTCCAAGGTAACAACTTGGTCTTTTACCATAGCAAACATTCCTGAGCTTGTCTGTGTAAGTGACAGAAGTCTACCAACACATCTACTCTCATCTTACTCCTATTTCGACTCCACCAGTTCATCTTTGCAGTTCACCTTAACATATAAGCCCAAATCTGCTCCCAGACTTGCTAGTTCTGTGGTCCCTCCTGCTACGCTTAGACACCACACTTCAAAGCACCACTTCAGATGGAAGATAACACTTTAAGGTTGAGCATGGTTAACCTCAGCTCTACCACTAGATTTGCTTTTGCTCTCTTCAGACAGCATGGACTCCAAGGCTAATTTCAGTTTTAAAACCGTGCTTTGCATTTAGTTCTACTTATTTGTTTTATTTAACAGTCCACCCAGATAACCTGCTCACTGTTTGGCTAGCAATGACAACCATTTTCACCCAATTCAGGAATCAGGATTCTCCTCTGCAAAGAGTCTTTGTCACCTGAAATCTGTGACAAAAGCCATTCAAAGAAAAAAAAAACCCACAAACCTCTGTATGCATATGCCTTTCCCACCAAGCCTAGCTGATGTGGGACATACATGCACCTCCTAAAAAAATCCAGCCAGCATGACTTAACTGCAACACAGCTACATTTTGACCACTATATTTAGTTTTTATAATTTAAGACTTGCCTTGTTATGCATAGCATTCAGATCAGTCATTCTAGTTAAACCAGTGTGAGGCACAGTCTAATCAGACTTATTCAGAAGAATAATGCTTAGTGCAGTAGTCTTCAGGGAGGAAGAAACCTTCTTCGCTTACTTTGTAAAGCAGGGACTCCTTGTTTTTAGCAGGGACTCCAAGTCACTAACCCAGGCAGGGGCCTTAGTGCAGTAGGAAAAGCACAAGCTGGAAGACTAAAGAACCCTAGTTCACCCAAACACATGGAGACTGTTGCTGAATAATCACTACAGTTTGAGCATTTGAGACCCCCAGAAGGGTGCAACTCTATTACAGAGACTTCTGCCATTTAGCCTGCTTTTAGCTATAGCAGTAGTTACAGTCCTTCACATTTTAGGCCTTTGGAGGTCCATCCAAAGTAATCAGTAGGCAGAGCTAGCAACTGATACCCTGCTTTAACTGTGTGTTACTTATCTACCTTATAGTCTGCCTTTCCCTGCTGTGACATGCGAGCAGAGCTCACTGCAGTCATAAATGTCTTCAAGTATCCAAACTTTACCATCCAAAGAAAATGTTAGGCTTATCTATCATGTTAGACTTATCTTTCTAGTCTACAGACAGATCTGAGACAATTTTTACTGTTGTTTGCAAGAACAGATTAGAATAAGTCTCAGATCATTTAAAAAAAAAAAGTAAAAATCAGTAATTTAAGAGGTAAAAAGGAACCCATATTCAGTTTAGTTTGGGTTCCTAAGTGTAGTCTATGATGACTTGCTGCACTGAGAAAACACATAATTTGTTACAGAAATGTTTCAGGCAGAGTCACTACAGGAAGATGAAGACAACCCCCTTTCAGTATTTTGTTAGACAGAAGGCCTCCAGGGATTGCAGTATCTCCAGTTACAAATACAGATAACTCTCAGATTGCCTTGAAATATCCTTTCAGAATACACTTGAGTCACAATGCACCTCAAACGGCCTTTAGCTTCTATTCCCCATCGACTTCTAGGCAATAAATACATAAAGCATTCAGCAACCTTCCTGCCATACCACTGCATGGAGAAGATTAATGGGAAATTCCGTAACTGCTAACTTGTGCACAGACACATAAAAGAGGGCAGTGCACCCTTATGCTTCCAGATTTTCTAGAAGAGAGGCACTTAAGAGATTGCCCTGTTCTGCAGCCAGTTTCACGTCCAGTATTAGAGGCACTTGTGCCAAGTTTGCTGTTCTGTGCGCAACAAATTCCAGGTCACAGCAAAGCAACTTGATTCCCTGACTGTGACTCACCTTCTGCTACTAGACTATTATTTATTGCCTTGCAGCCTTCAGGCAGGACTGGCAGCCTGTTAGTACACTCAAGAATCTGTAGAAGCTTAACCTCGATAGTTCCAGCTGTTCAGAGAACAGCAAGGGAGAAAAGAGTGCCTGGGCAGCTAACACATTAATCTCACGTCTCCACCTTACCCCAGCAAGCTCACTCTCTCTTCCCTACCCCTCAGTAAACATACTGGCTGCCAGTTAGTGGTGTCACATGATTTTGTGAAGTATTTCTTATCTTTGAGAGACTGAGCTATTATTTCACTTGGAGGCAAGTCCCAGAGAAATTAAGGACTTAAATAGCTCTCTACCCTGGAACAGCCTAACTGAATGCTTCTCTCAGAGCCTAGTCCTTGCTGAGGGAGGCAGAGCAGAGAAACTCCCCCCCCATCCCAGATGGGCAAGCTAAGGTATGCTAGCAGTGTTGTTATTTCCCAATATTCACCTCCTACAGGCTTTTTTAAATTTCTTTGTTCAAGGGAGCTGCTGGTGGTGATCTTGCAGGCCTCCTACCTTTTCATATCTTCTACAGCATGAAGAACAGACTGCTGAAGATTAGCATCAGCCTCTGTGTCACAAAAAGGTGGTCAGACTGCCAGCTTCAGAGACAAGAATGGGTGCAGCAATTTAGCTAATCTCGTTACAGAATCACAGAATGATATGGAGTTGGAAGGGACCTCTGGAGATCACCTAGTCCGACCCTCCCCACCAGAGCAGGTATTCCTGGCGCAGATTGCCTAGGAACATGTCCAGGTGGGTCTATGAACATCTCCAGAGATGGAGACTCCACCACCTCTCTGGGCAGCCTCTTCCAGGGCTCTGCCACCCTCAAAGTGAAGAAGTTCCTCCTCATCTTTAGATGGAACCTCTTGTGCTCAAGTTTGTGCCCATTGCCTCTTGCCTGTCACTGGGCACCACTGAAAAAGGACTGGTCCCATCTTCTTGACACCCACCCTTTAAGTATTTACAGGCATTGATGATATCCCCACTCAGCCTTCTCTTCCCCAGACTAAAGAGTCCCAAGTCCCTCAGCCTTTCTTCATAAGAGAGATGCCCCAGGCCCCTAATCATCTTTGTAGCCCTCTGCTGTACCCTTTCCAGCAGTTCCCTGTTCTTCTTGAACTGGGAAGCCCAGAACTGGACACATTACTCCAGATGGAATAGCTAAACTTCTGCCTATTGAAGGCATGCCATAGCTACCAAGCCAGAGGCTAAGATTCTTAAGTGTGTGCTATTGAATGTGAGCACAAATAGTTTTAAAACATTCTCTTTAAAATCAGCTCAAATGGCCATCTTGAAAACTGACTGAGATTAGGACTTGAAGTATACCAGTGTGGCTTTTCATAAGCCTCAGACACTCAGAAATGTAGATGTAATAATTGAGCAAACAGATGAAGCATATTCCATCTGTACCACAACAAATGTCGTCACCTTGCAGTCCCTACAGGAGGCTGCCAAAACTCACACCTCAGGTATGCCACCCAAGAAGAGTCTAAGCTTCATAATCAGTCAAGAATGGGAAGCTATTCCCACTCCACTAGAAGAGTATTAAGTACCATACTTAAATCTAAACACTACAAGAGTATGAAATACTGTATTTAAATCTAAAGGGACATATCACCAAAATACCACCCTTGCAAGACAAGATACAGAACAGTCCTTAATAGCAGATTCTTGCTTACTACCTACGGGAATGAGATGTGTTGGCTGAGACTCTTCCAGCTTGTTTCTCAACCAGTCGAAGTCTTGGTACCGCCGGCGGACAGAATACTCTGGCAAATCAAACTCTGCTCTCGTGGTCTGGAAAAGAAGAACAGGATATGCTCAGTCTGCACCAAAACCTCCCACTTCAGAGTGTAGCAGCAAATGCAGCACAGCTGTCCCTGGTATGGGTGAGGCCAGATAGGCCTTGCTTGGGGACTCCATCCCCAAAATCATGTTTGCAGCCAGCATAAGAGAAGGATCCTCTGGCCTTTAAGGCACTGAGAAAGACAGCAATTTGAAAAGTGGTTACTTGGAGCTTATGTGTTCCTGAAATTTATTCAAACTTCATTACATGTTCTGCTCAGATAAAATTTATGGGAGTCGTCTGGTGGAGATGAGAGTGCTGTGCACCATGTTAATCTTTTGGCAATTACAAGTTTGCGGAAAAGGCTGTATGAAATCTTCATTCCAAGGACAAGACTACTTTAGCCAACAAGAATTAAAAGCAAACATAGTCAATGATTTGTTTACTCTATGAGGTGCATTAACCATGGGTGAAAAAAAACATTTCACCACTGCCCTGTATTCCAGAAGTGACAGACTAATTAAACTCCTTCAAGGGTAAAAGATTAGAACATAAGCCATCACTAGATTTGTGAAGCCATCACTTTGATTTCTGAGAGGAACAGATGAGTTTGCTTACATTAAGTTTGTATATACCCGATTAGAGGTATCAGTACACTAAGTTAAATCTTTACAGTTTTCATTCTTCTGCACAAGGAATAAAACTTGCCATTACAAGTTTGAGACAGAAGGTAAATATGAAGAGAAACTTCTGGCAAATGTTTTATCCAGTCGTCCAACAGTCCATAGCCTGGAAAGCTGACTGCATGGGGCTGCTTGCACAGCACATATTGCAACTGCCTAAAAGCTCAAAGAAAACTGTGCACCAACTAGGAGTCTCTGCTACAGAGCCTGGTATTGTGGTAGCCCTCACTGGAAGAGAGATGGCCCTTATCATTATGTCCCACTGAGAAGCACAGCTCACAGAGAAGCCCAGAGTGCTCTATTTAGTTACCTGCAGCATCAAGACCATCTTGCAATGAAGGTGATGCTGCAGCACCAGCACACTACATGTCTACAGCGAGACATCAAAACCACTGCGTTGTGGGGAACACACCAGCTCTCCTAGCTTCCAACAAGCATCAAAGTCCAGCACCATGTTGCTTTGCTACTCTTATCCCCTACAAACACCTGCTCATTTCCAGCAGAGATTTAGTATTTAGTTCCAGACTGACAGCAACTGCCCCATATTTGGAGAGCAAAATAGCAGCCTTTAAAAGCATGGATGTGTCTTCACTTGCCCCCTGGATGGATCCAGCTCCAGTGACTGCACATCACTGCCACCAATCCTTACTGAGGATCCTATACAAGTTCTATGCCAGAAATCTCTTACTAGGGAGAAGTGAGCAGCCTTAACACACTATCAACAGAACAGCAGCTTTAGTATACTATGAACAGCATGCTGGTGTGATATGATGTATTAAATGGCTTGCTTTCTAGAACAGGAAGGCACAGAGTGACCGTAAAGAAGAAATCAAGCTCACCTCCTCCCTCCTTTGACCTGCTAGCCATGGTAAGAGATATACACATTAGTCCACAGATTAACATAATGAGTGCTCACCAGTGGAGCAGTTGTACTTGTAGATGAGGAACTACCAAGACCTAGATACCCACTGCAGCTTTGCACTTTACTCAGCTACACCTCAGAGTAACAGCTTATCCAACGTGTTAGAGTGTCACACTACAAATGAAACTTCTGAGACTTCGTATGAACCATTTTCACTTGTTTTGAGTAAGAAATGGTGAGACATCACACTAGAACAAGATAATTCACACACATGTAGACAGCCCTCATCAGCCAATGGTGCTGATTGTTTTGTTCTGTTAATAGGGCAGCTATAACCTGAGCCTTGCAGGAGACAACCTGAAATTAAAAAAAAAAGTAACAATTTAGTAAGGAGAGCTTTTGTGAACTGGCTGTCACTGAGGAAAGACTTCTTAAAAGATCTGACAATGAGTGAATGAGAGTAATCAGTATGCATACACACTACTGTGTCTTATCCTGTAGCAATAGGATGAAGGTAAAGGCTGTCATCTGTTAGTGCTGAGAACCTTATTAACCTATATTCTGCTAACTGTTAAGGAAAACTGTATAGGTACTATTTAGTCTAGAAGCAGGAAAGCAGAATAAGTCCCAGTACACAAACTTTACAGTTATTACTCATCTCTAGTAAACTGCTCCTGCTGCCTTTATATCACAAGCAGGTTTGCAAAGTTTTCCATATACCAGGTTCTGTTCCTCAGAGAGAAGCAAATGAAAATACATCATAGTCAAGAGCATTTCAGTGTTCGCTGTACAGGCTGTCAAATCTAGACAGCCAATAAGCTCTTCAAGAGTATTTGGACTGAACATAAGGGCCCTTCAAGGTTTTAACAACACTTCAATAATGCTGAAAGAATTTGGATCTCAGATCAAACTGTTCATTAGCTTAGCACAAGTTATTTTTTCCAGACTGCACACAAAAGGGAAGAAGGTCTTGCCACTGTCCAGGGACAGTAAGTGAAATGTCTGCATTTTTGACACAGTTGAATTCCCCCTGCTTTCCCAGTAGGATTCATAAGTCTCATATTGCAAGGACACAGGTCTCTCCCAAAGGAAGCTGAGAAACTTGTGGCAGATCTCAACCTCCTAAAAATAATGGGCAAGACAGTTCCAGGGATTTATTGAAGACTCCAGCACAGTTCCACTAAGTCAGCACTGCAGTATTCTGGGCTCATATTTACTTGTTGGAAAGCAGGCAGGGTTACAGAAGCTTTTACCTCTGTTTTTGGAATAGTTTTGACTTAAGGCAATCACCAAGTCTTGGTCTTGTGTAAGGCTTTCTTGAGATGAAAAGTGTCTTTTTTGAGAGGATTTCGCAGCCAAATCTTAAGCTAGCCTGTGATGACTACATGAAAGTATTTCTGTATCCTAGTTCTAGCCTTTTATCACTACACCTGATTGCAGATTCCCCTCCATGTTACTATTTATCTGGGAAAAATCTTCAACTAGAAAAAGAAGAGAATGGCGGAGGGGGGAAGGGATCAAAGTTGGTGTTCTTAGCAGTTCTTCCAAATTTTGTTTGCCTCAAGTAGTTTAATCCCTGTGAAAAAGATCATCGCACTTAGACCTGCTCCTCTCTAGAGATTTAGCTGTTCCACGTGCTCAGGTAATCTACCCAATGCATGCAGTGGAAGCAGAAGAAGGAGGACAGGAAAAAGAAAACAAGACCCCCACTTCAGTGCCAACTGGTGTGAAAGCCTCTCCCTTCAAGCCCACAGAGAAACTGCATGACTCTCAGGAATGGCACACAGCTAGCTGCTCAGACTTCCATGGGGAAAGGCACATAAGGCAACCTTGCTGTCCTAGAAAGCATACAAAAGTGAAGTTAGAAGTATACTTACTTCTGTTTCCCTCAGGAGAGATGACTACATAATGTAAGGGTAAGCTTTATTTCCCACCCCTCCCTCCTCAGAAACATCTGCTTGACAAAATCCCTCTAGTGTGCGCATCAGTCTATCTGAAGAGTACAAAGGTGTATCATCTAGAAAACCCAAGATACTTCAATCATTGCAGCCACGACCAATTAAGTTCCAGCCCAGGTCTCACCCACCTTACTAGTTTCACTAGCCTCCCTGTATAAGAGAGCAGGGTATGAAACAAATCGAGATAGCCAGGTCTGAATCACTGTTACCATTATTTTGATGATTCCCATAATGTTCTTTAAATGCATTCATCCAGAAGACAGGCTGGGGAATGCTACCTAGCTCTTACTAGAAAGCTGTGAAAGCAGGGGCACAAGCAGGACCAAGTAAACTTCTAAGCTTTCTTCTCAGCTTCCATGCAAGACATTGTTTTGGACCAAATGCTTTGGACCCTTCCTCAGCCACCACCACCTGTTGACAAAAGCATCAGTACATGAGAAATCTGGAGCACATTGCAAAACTCCTTTTTCTTGCTGTTAGGATAAAGGACCTTTTTAAAGAAATAAAAAAATACACACAACACAAAAACAAGACTGTGGTCAGATTACACTTGTGCCTATGGTGATGTCCCGTCACAGCCACAAGCACGTTACAGCACTAGCAATCACATTCCCCTCTCCTACCTAGTGATGTTACTTTTCAAAGCAAGAAAGTCTTCAGCATAACTCATTCTAGGACCTACATTTATCCAAACCTTTGAGGTTCCAGTTGCATTCTTCAGTGGAGGAAAAAAAAAAGCAGCCACCCCTGCACCTCCTCATCCAGAGCCAGAGAGACCCTTTCAGCCCTTTATGGGTCCCAAATGCGAGGCTGCAAGGGAGATGGTGGGAAGGTACAGCCTTACACTGATGGCAAGAGCAAGATCTGCTGTAGAACTTTGACCTACAACCTGAAGGTGCAAGCATCACTCAGCACCATCTAGGGATTGTTCCTGTGCAGCTTTTTGGCTGTGTTTAATTACAGCTTTCAGCTACAATGGCTGATTAGGCAATTAGCTTGGCATTGAAGAGGCCTTGTCTGTATGTCAAGAATGAGTCAGACCATTAAGACTGTTAGTCTTCCAAACACTTTTTTTTAAGCAATGGTAGATAGTGGTAGATGTGCTGACCCTAGAAGTTAGCCAGAAATTTACAGGAATAGTAAACTCAAAGAGGTGAGGCTTTCACAGTGATTGATAAGAATAAATTATGCACTGTTTCACAATAGTATTGTAATGCTATAATATAGCGGATTTACGTGTTTCAGTAAGATCCAAAATAAAACAAGTGTTAACAGACAGGTAGGTAGATACACAAAATCAGAAGTACAGGAAAAGGTTTTTCATTTTAAAAAGACGCTGTTGGGAAACATGTCTGATCTAAATACAGTAAATACCTTACCCATGTTCCAGAGTTTTGCTTTAAGAAGGAAAGGAATCTGTATGAACACAAGTTTCCAAGCAGAGGAGCATTATTAGGGTGCCACTGCTTTGAGATATTTTATCTTGACAAAATAATCAGGTCTTACTTTCAGGTAGAAACAAGTTTAGCCAATTTTAGCCATTGACCTGTGGAAAGTTGTGTTTCCTGTTCCTTCAAATCATGTAAACAAGTTGCTCCAAGTAGAAGAGATCTCCACAATACCTCTTGGCATTTTCTCGTCTTAACATACAGCGTTTCTTGCAAGAGTAAGACACCCAGAGCAACAAAGAGTAACAGGACTATGATAAAAGTGTGCAGTATGAGGTAGCTACTATTTTCGAAAAAACACACTTTAACCTGTGCATCCTGAAAGAGGAAGTTTGGAGTAGGCATTTGGGGGGAAAAAACAGAAGTGTCTGTGGCCTGTAAAGGCTTCCTTATCTCAAAGAAAAATATTCTCTCCAGTATAGAGTGCCATTTAAGTAGGCCAGAGGAATGTTAGTCCTTCTAGACAAGTGGATCAAGCATATTTCTAGTGAAATTAGTGAACACTTTTTGCCTTAGGTAACTGCAAGTGCCCAAAACAGATGTCAACATCACCTAGGAGCTGATGCTAATGAGAATGAGCTAGTTAACAGAAATCAACCTTTCAGTTGTGAGTGGACTTTTCAGACCACTTTTCTTATTAGTATAATTAGACGGCATTAATACTTGAACTACAACACACACCAAAAAAAATCTCTAGCATATTTCTTTTGGTAGGCAGTAGCGTTCTTAGTTTTAGCAGCAGCTATACAGCCTTCTGTACCAACCAACAACTGCATGGAAGCTAGTTTACAGCTGGGGATCAAGAATATGATTTAGGTAAGTGGCTGACAGCGGAAGTGTGGTAAACACTTAAAGCAACAAGCTTAAAGCTTTTCAGAGAGGAACAGACACAGAATGTGAGATGCTTAACAGTGAACCAACAAGGCACATTCCCCTTCAGGGAAGGTAACTCAAACCAAATGGGTGTCAGGTTACTTTATATGCACTAACTTTCAAGTTAATGAAAGAAACTGGCCTTGCAAGTTTACAAACAGTTCTGTTTAAGAGTCAGAGACAAAAATCTAAGCTGAGACATTGAGAGTTTTGCATAGTTTCGTATACTGAAGTTGTAACAGTTCTGCCAAGACAAATCACACCTCCAGCATATTCACAAAGTACTGAAAGGCACTAAGCTCTTGTCTTTAACAACCAACTTAAAGAAAATACAACACAAGGCACAGGCATCCAGAATATATCCTAAATAACTCCCGAAGAAAAAAGCACTAGGAGAGGTGAATGTTACTTTGTACCTTTGTTGTAACCCTGTAGGTAATATATGTCTCCATCGTGCACACGTGTTTTTTGGGATCATCAACAGTAACAAAGAGGTCTCTGGTTTCCCCATCCAAGTCATCATCCAGCTGCAGTCTGTTGAGGAGAGATGAAGAGGAGGCTGGGCTAGAAGTGTCCACAGGCGTGCCATTGGGTAGACTGAGATCCTGTATCGGAGAGGAAAAAACAGAAAGTTTTCAATAAGTGAACAGATTCACTATAATGCAGAATATTCTCAAAGACGCCACTTGCAATAAATAGCGCTTTACACTAATATATTACAAGGGCTATTTACTTCAGCAGCTCCAAAGGATCTCCCTTCTCTAGGACACCTGGGCAGCCCCCTGAGGTCTGGACTTTGAGTATCAGGATGTTCTACTGTTCCACAAGTTGCAGAGAAAGCACATTGCCACTGTACCTCTCCCTAGCGTGGCGCAACCTGGCTTCCATTCACGAGGAAGCAGAAGTGCTGCTGAACCAACTCAGACGCTGAAAGCAAAACAGCTAGGCAAATCAGGAGACCTACTTATAAGACAGGCTCCAGGCAAAGTGGCAACAGTTCAGTTGGCTGGAATGCAGTCAGTCTTTGCACCTGGAGACTCCCATAGTAGAAGAAGGAGAACTTCTGTCAGAGGCTTTCGATCTAGTCCATTAACTTCCAAACACTTCAAACAGCAGTCAGAGGCTGAACTGCCACCACTGCACCATAGGACAGTCACAGATCATAGACTCACCGAATCACAGAACGATATGGGGTTGGAAGGGACCTCTGGAGATCACCTAGTCCCATCCCCTTGCCAAACCAGGTCCTCCTAGAGCAGGTTGCACAGAAATGTGTCCAGGCAGGTTTTGAATGTGTCCAGAGAAGGAGACTCCACCATCTCTCTGGGCAGCCTGTTCCAGGGCTCTGCCACCCTCAAAGTGAAGAAGTTCCTCCTCGTCTTGAGATGGAACCTCTTATGCTCAAGTTTGTGCCCATTGCCTCTTACCTGTCACTGGGCCACCACTGAAAAAGGACTGGTCCCATCTTCTTGACACCCACCCTTTAAGTATTTACAGGCATTGATGATATCCCCACTCAGCCTTCTCTTCCCCAGACTAAAGAGTCCCAAGTCCCTCAGCCTTTCTTCGTAAGAGTGATGCCCCAGGCCCCTAATCATCTTTGTAGCCCTCTGCTATACCCTCTCTGGCAGTTCCCTGTCTCGTGGACTGGGGAGCCCAAGTTCAAGACTCCAGCACCACTGTCCATGCACACCTCCCTTTTGGAATCCCAAGGCTGATGAAAACACTGTGTTTTGCTTCTAAATCTCCTCATTCCCATCCTCCCAACAACAAGAGTATCATTCAGTGCCTAGGGAAGATAGGCTAAAAGAATCAGCAAGTGTCTATATTAGGAAGAGACTCACAAGGGTTTGGGAAGCCTGTAATTCCTTGAAACTGAGTCAGTATCAGGAAAAAAAAAACACACACAAAAGAGAAAAAACCAAAACCCAAACTTCATAGCCAACTTGGTACATTCCCACACCTTCAAATACCGCACTTTGACACAGACCAAATACTTCCTACGGCTACTGGTTACTGCAGTTTGCATAAATATCACAGCAACTTCACATGTGTTCTCTGCTCTGGTTTTGCAGCAAAGGGAGCTGACAGCATGTGACAAGTTGTACAATATGCAGGAAAATCTGACAACAGTATTAGGAAGTCCCAAAGAACCATGGCTCTTCTTTTCAGAGGAGGGGAGGCTTTTTGTTTGAACTGGTAGCATAAGAATAGATTTATCTACAGAGTGCTTCCCTTGCAAGGGCAAAGGTTCCTCTAGTTGCCAGACAGAGAAATATCACTACAGCTAAGCAGCATATTAACAAGTGTTTTAGTTTTAGAATTAGCCTCAGCTTCACATAGTCTTTAAGAGGCCAAATGAGGACTGTAACCTTCGCAAAGCAATCCTGTTTAGGTAAGATTCTCTTTGTCCATCAGTACTCTTTATGCAATTGTGGTTTATGTTCCAGCTGGACGTGGGTAGTCGCCATCCTCGATAGAAGCCCTCCTTTGTTCAAGGGTTCAGAATTACAGGCAAGAGCTTCAAGTTAAAGCTTGTTACAAGGGTCTGCCTTTGACAATGGCTAAGAACAGGGCTAAGATCCTACCAGTCACAAACCCATCATGTCAGTAGTGGGATTTTTATAGACTGTTCTCTACCTGTTGCAGTCCTGCAGAACTGTCATAGTACTGCTTTTCACCCCAAGGAATGCCTTATGAAGTAGGGAGAATAATGCTTTAGCCTAGATATTTTGGAAAAGGGTTGGTCTGAACTATTGTCTACTAACAGAGAGCCGAGATGGATTCTCCCAAATAATCCTCAGAAGTGGTTGCCAACAGATGAAAGAATTCAGATTTAACTGGCAAGTGAGCAAGAATTGGAAGGTGGGCACTCAAATGCTCTCTTAAGAGGGCAAAAGAGCAGGATGAGCATGGCACAGCTTGCCAGCTCATACATGAGGAAGACAGCTTGAGCTACACAAGCATCTGGCTCAGACTCAACATAGCAGGAGCGTGAACAACAGGAAGAAGCAAGGCTACAATAACTCAGCTGATAAGGAGTTCTGTTGGAGCTACACAAACAGAGTAAGCAGAAGACAGGATAAGATTAGCAACAGGAGATGGCTTCAGAAAATCTGCAGTTCAGCTAGACGGGAGAATTCAGCTGCAAAAAAAATATTTGGCTGTAAAGAGCAAAGCAAACCCTGGGACACCGCAGTAGCTGTAGACAAATCTGTTCTTGTTTTCAAAAAGAAAAGACAGCTCTTCATTGCCCATGTGCAATAAGCATTAGTATAGAACAAGTTGTGCCAGAACTACAGCCAGTCAGTATGGAAATTAATTAACTTGTGGAAACAGCTTAAGCCTGGTTGCACAGGAGATCTCAAAAGCTTTAACAAAACCCTTCCAAAAGAGAGCTTGAAGAATATGACAGGATTTGCTTAAAACATGAAAACTCTGCATCAGGGTGTCAGAACAACTGCAGGAAGGATCAAAGATGGAGCTTGTAGCCACTTGAAGTTAGCAACTTTTCCTCACCAGTTCTGTTAGGAGACAACAATATCATAATAGCACATCTTGCTCTTTTTCAGCAGGGTAGGGATTTCTGAAGGTGGGAATCCACTTCAATCTACTTGAGTGTATTCTTGCAGGTCATGCATCCTGTGGAATGTCTCAGGTCTTAAAGTAAAGGCTGTAATAGCTTTGCCTGATCTCAGCCTTGGAAGAGAGACACCCCAGATCTAGAAGTAAAGCTTCTAGACCAACTCTGGTTAGGAGCAGGGGGGCTGCTAGCTGCAGTAGGGGGAAAGGACAGAAGATGCCTACACTGAAAGCACTGCTGTGCTATACTGCCTCGGCTGTGATTGCAGAACCCTCCCCTGGCAGTCACAGCTGGCATCACGCCCTGCTACTTGGCTAGTTTTCAGTGGCTGGAAGGCCAAGTGAGAAGCTAACTATTTGCCCTTCTCAAAGGGTGGAGCCTCCTAGCTAACTGCACAAGGAACAATACTGAACCTTCGTTTAACAGTAGGCAGGATCAGTTTGCTGAAGCCTTATGCTATTGCTAGAAAGAGGTAGTCTCTGAAGTGTCACAGCAGATGGCCTAGCAATCTAAGTTGTCCCAGGCTATAATCCTTTCAGTGGAGCACGTCCTCATCACGTTAGCTGGCACTGGCTTTCTTCTATGGGACTTGGATTTTTTTTTTTTTTGCAGTTGGGGAAGCAAGACTGCATCATCTGTTCTAGTCTCCTTTTACTACAGAAAAGAGGAGAGAGTCCTGCAGAGCCTATCAGGAAAGGAGATCGGCAGCCATCTGCATTTCTACTTGTCAGTGTAGTTATCATACTCACAAGCATTTGAAATACTGACTAGTATTAGTTGTTTTATATAACAAGAAGTCTGACTTCAGTGCCAGGGACTCCTGCATCGGCTTCACCTTTAGTGCACCAAGTAGCTGCTCATCCCCCATTTGAAGTACCTATCTGCATGATCAGATAGCAGCACAGTCCAAGTCCCTGCAGGTATCTGCTGCTCACTAAGCTCTTCACAGAACAAAAAGCTTTTTCCTCACATCACCTGTTACTCACAGTAGTCAGCCTGCCATGATCCTGAGCAGTCCCACAGAGGGGAGAAGGGGAGGCTGCTTCTGGCTGCCAGGCAGATGGAATGGAGGACAGGTTCTGTCAAGACATTCTTCAAGTCCTAGAGAGTATCCACGAAGACTTCCTCAAGTTTCAAAGCTTTTTCTAAAGTAAAGAGCAAAGATCCTTAGCCTCTGCCACTCCTCAGGAAGTCTCAGAGCTTTATCACCTGCTGAAGCAGGTCAGGTGAAGGTCTAGCAAGGTCTGGAACACAACCTATGGCAGAAATAGTGCGGCATTCAGATTGTTGATCTACTGGTTAAGTACAAGGCTTTTGTGCACAACCACCTAAAGGCAGACTATTCACCCATTCCTATGGGGTTTGTAGGATTCCTCAGGACATCCAAATTTACAGGTTCATGAAATCAGGTGACTCCAGCAGCACACCTCTGGTATCCTATAGCGCAGGGCAAGCAGCAACTGCCTGTGTTGGAAATGCGTGAGCCCTGCCAACTATGTAGGCTGCTATCTGGTAAGGAAGCAGCTTCACATTCATTTGTTGTATTATGCAGTCCAAACATCTTGACTAGTTAGCTTGTCCAGAAACAGATATTAAATCTATCAAAAAGTTCATTTCATCCAAATTTAAAATTCAGCTGAATTTTATAAACTTGAAGTCCGCATGTGAGATGCAAAATGAGTTGGGAAATATCCAGCTGATGTCATCTACTCCCTCCTTCATTCTCCCAGAAGATTTTCCAAGACTCTGGATTTACAGAGCAGCTTGATCCACATGAAGTAAAACCTCAGGAGCTTGGTATTCAGTCTTCTGGACGGCAGCCTCCCCAACAGAGTAGTACACACCAGAAAAGGTATCCAGGAATCAACCCTTGAAAGCTAAAAAAAGGTCTAAAATTCTGTAGGTATTGGCCTATCAAGTGAAGATATCACGCAGTCTTCTGACGAGTTAAGTGTATCTAGTCAATACTGCAGCTTTTAAAAATTTAAGGTTAATTTTCACTTATCATGCCTTAATAAGTGT